AGCATCGGGCACATACGTCCTCAACTCGTCTAACATCTGGCCGCGGCGATCGTCGCTTACCTTGGACATGAGCATCACCGTTACAGATCGCCCATAGCGTACCTTGTTGTAAAGTTCCAGTCTGCCCGGGATATCATCTTTGGTACATTCGGGTGTGAAAAGGGCGCCCAGAGCTGCTCCATCTTCGAGGCTCTGTGCACCGCCTTGTCCCTGGTCTAAGTCATGATGTAGTTAGCACTGGGCGCAGCATAAGCCCGGAGTCACCAGAAACTCACGAGGCAGTGTTGGGTGGGCCGCATCTCCGATGAGTGCTAGCTTGCCACGGATGAAGGTGCGCGGTGGAGAACGAGATGCCAAGCTCCAGAGCTTCAGATCTTCTGCCAACTTGCACATTTCTTGAAGCTCAGGGCTGAACACACTGCATGTTTCAAGCAACGAATCCAGATTGCCGCTGTCTAGCCATGAAGACTCTCTAGCGCTAGAGTCGGCTCCTGAAGGATGGATGGCAGCGACATTGAGCAAATCGCCGTGACGACAGGGATAGACGACTATTCGGCGATCCTCTGCGGTGAAAACGTCCACAGCGCCCGATCCCATCTTTTCCAGAAGAGAGGCAGTGAGAGGGTTGCTTTTCATCTTGGAAACAGGGATAAGGAAGCGAAAGCAGTTCTGCCCTGTGCTTTCCTTCTTCGTAGGTCCACCGATGATACTGCTAACACACCGAGACTAGTAGAACACATTAGTATACTAGACATAGGTTCCACAAAGGAGATAGTTCGTACATGCATGCCATCCGCTCCAATGATTAGGTCACCAGTGTACTTGCTACCGTCCTCGAGGGTTACCACTCCAGCCTTGGGATCCTATCAATCATCTAGGTGAGTAGCCTGGAAACACTGGATGAAGCAGAATAGTATATACTGACCACCGAAGCTACACGAGAACGCAAGTGAATAGTAGGCTTCTTGCCATTGACCTCCTTGGCAGCTAAGCCCCTAAGGGTATTGTGCAAATCTACTCGGTGTGTGAGTAACCACTCATCGTAGATGCCCAGTGCTTCCTGGGCATCCTTGGTCACCTGCATGATTATTAGCCATGGTCGACCATCTCAACCTTTAAGAATAGCACCTACAACTGGGGTATGAGTAAGGTTTCCTCGGTGATCCCACAACCGCATTTTGTTGCAGTGGACCGGCTGCAGGTCCCCCAAGTTGCATCCCCATTCTTTGAGAATGCGCGTGGCATTAGGCGCCATGTGGATTGCAGCTCCTACTTCATTCAGGAAGCCGGACTGCTCGAGGATCTGATGAAGTTAGCTCCACTCAGGATTGAGCGATAGTGTAGCCCTATTGACACACCTCAATATCATGACCTTGGCGGTTCAACGCAATGGTTGCGCCCAGACCAGCCAGGCCAACACCAACCACGACAATCTTCAAGGGCATTTTGAAACAGCACTTATATTGAAGAGTATTAAAGTAAGTAGACGTGCAGCGGAAAACATTCTAGTGTGGCTATCGAGTGGACATCTTGCTTGCTTTATACACGTGGTTGAATCAAGTTCTCGGCCAGACCACTCGGCATCTCTCTTCGGTCTGCCCACAGTAGCCGATCGGTTCTTGGCTGAGCATCAAATCTTTGCATGGTAGCTCCACCGGACAGGAGAACCAAGTGAACCGGTGTTTTGCATTTGCGCTATGAAGTCATAAATTCAAATCTTAAATGCTAAACTATCCCTTCCGTGGCATTGGGTAGAAGCCGCTATCTGCAACGGCGAATCCTCGGTACGATGCCAAACATCCTTTCTGTAGGGCTCGGAGACTTGGACCCTTATTTCACGATCTGCGGGTCTCTGGCTGACAGTGCTAGGTCATTAATATTTTCCCACCTAGGATATAAGACTTTCTCTGGGATAGCATCGGATTTTGTTTCAAAGTTTATGCCGGTTTGTAGGAAATATGGCCACACAACCGAGCGGGCGAGCCTGTGATCATTATGGAGTGCCTGAGGTCCCCACCGGGATGAACCACAGTAGCAAGTAGGCACTTGATTCCCCGCATTTCTCGGAATCCCGTATCAACTCGAATCAATGTAAATCGCGGTTATATCTGCTAGAATTGGGATCTGCCGAACTTTGCCATCTAGGTTGCAGTAACTCCGTGGAAGCAGGGACTAGCCGGAGGTCCGTTGGGAAAGCCGGGGAAAGATGATGGCAGAAGGTGGCAGATGATGGGTCAGCCGATAAGGGAACTCCCCTCACCGACCACCTCATTCCTTCTGCTGCTTCCCCTCACGGTCCCCATTCCTCATTCATCTGCCTGCAGCTCTCCCCCATCTTTCTTACACCTACTCGTCTGACATCCATCAGCCACGAGGGGGAACTGCGCTCGTCCATTCCTCACTGGCTATTCGTATCGATTTTTGTTGTTCAGGAACAGTAATCTACCCCCTATCTTATCACTGCTTGTCGATCAGCTACTGACCCTTCTTCGATGCAGGTGACATGACCATCCGATCCATGAAGTTTACTCCAGAGTAAGCCATCACCAATACCAGCAGCAGAGCTCACTTCATCGTTTTATCTACAAATAGTACTTCTTCTATCTAAGCAACTAAAGCTGACCTGTCAGGGTTCTGCTCGGAGCCCCTAGGCGCTCCGGACCAGTTCCGAATGCCTCAGGCACCCTTGCCGTCTACACTCAGACAACCTACTCGTTCGAATCTCACTCCAAAACGAACGAGATTCGCGTTTTGGATATCGCCACTGGCCGGTCGGCTCTGATCACCAACGACGCCGGCGCCAGCTGTCCGCAGTGGCTGGGTGACAGCAACCAGCTGGTTTGGCTCAAGGCCAAGGCCAACGGCAATACCAGCTTTATTGTGGGGGATGCGCGTGAGGCAGACAAGACGTACACGGCGGGAACGGTCCCTGGCCCAGTTTCCGATCTCAAGGTCACGGTCGTCGAGCCGGGCAAGATCGGCTTTGCTGTGACTGGTAAGGCGAACCCTGATGGGACGCTTCATAATCCGCATGACGCAAAGAAGCCAATCAGCACCGGGAAGCTCTTTACGTCGCTCTACGTGAGACATTGGGACTCGTACATCGAGCCGCAGAAGAATGCCATCTGGTATGGCTTGCTGCAGCGCGCCCCTCTGTCGCCAGCTACCAGGCAAGCGGGCAAGTACTCCGTGTCAGGACTGACGAACTTGATTTCGGTGAGCGGTCTTGCGGGTGTCGAGGCCCCTATCCCGCCATTCGGGGGCACCGGAGACTTTGACATCAGCCCCTCAGCAATTGTCTTCGTTGCGAAAGATCCGGACCTTAACCCTGCCACGCACACCTCCTGCTCCTGCTACTACTGCCCTATGTTTTCATGGACCGGTGTGAACGCATTGGAGGCCAAGGTCTGCGCGGTAAAGGGACTCGAGGGGGCCATGTCTTCACCGATCCTCACTTCGGATGGCAGCTCGATTGTTCTTCTCGCCATGCGCGAAGATGGTTACGAGTCGGATAAGAGACGTATCTTATATGTGCCGAACCCCTGGAACGGCGAAATGATCGAGGTGTTTGCCTCCGCAGACGGAGAGGGGTTGTGGGATTCCAGCCCGTCTGGCCTGACGTTCTCGAATGACGACCAGTCTCTGTTTATTCAGGTCGAGGAGTATGGCCGTGGCGTGTTGTACCAGCTTCCTATGGCTGATATTCGCCATGCAACTCCGGACAAGCTGAAGAAGATCACTAACGCGGGCTACGTCACGGACGTCTATCCCGCATCTAAGAAGTCGACAAAGCTGCTCATTTCTAGCACTAGCTTGGTGGATAATAGCGTCTGGTCCATTGTCGATCCCGAGTCTCCCAGCGACGTGCGCGTTATCTCCTCCATCGGTCGCAACGGTGCTGTGTTCGGACTCTCGCCCTCGCAGGTGGATGAGATCTGGTACCGAGGAGCGAACGACACTCCCGTCCACGCCTGGGTTGTGAAGCCCTCTAACTTCAAGCCGGGCAAGAAGTACCCGTTAGCCTACTTGATCCACGGCGGGCCTCAGGGTGCCTGGTGCGATCAGTGGAGCACGCGCTGGAATCCGGCGGTGTTTGCTGAGCAGGGCTACGTGGTAGTTACGCCCAATCCCCGAGGCAGCACCAGTTACGGACAAAAGTTTACGGATGAGATCCGTGGCAACTACGGCAGCCTGCCATATATAGATCTCGAGAAGGGGTTCGATTATATTGAGAATAACTTGGAGTACGTCGACACATCCCGTGCTGTGGCGCTCGGTGCGTCATTTGGTGGCTACATGGTCAACTGGATCCAGGGACACCCACTGGGCCGACGATTCAAGGCTCTGGTGACCCACGATGGAATTTTCAGCATGACGTCGATGCTTTCCACCGAGGAGCTCTACTTCCCTGTGCGGGATCTCAAGGGGCCCTTGTGGAAGGTCCCTGAGAACTGGGAGCGTTGGGACCCGTCTCGACACACGGCAAACTGGCAGACACCGCATCTGGTGATCCACAATGAGCTGGACTACCGGTTGACGATCGCAGAGGGTCTTGCTGCCTTCAACGTGCTGCAGATGCGGGGAGTCGAAAGTGCGTTTTTGACTTTCCCGGACGAGAACCACTGGGTGCTCAACCCGGAGAACTCGCTCATGTGGCACCACACCGTGCTCAACTGGATCAACAAGTATGTGGGACTGCCGCCGGCGTCGCGGGAATTTGCAGAGTTTAGCACGACGAAACAAACGTCGATGGAGCGACGCCTCCAGCAAGTGACGTTGGATGGGGCCTCTAGCTGAACACTGGTTCTGTATAAATTAGTGTTTAGTAGTATATTCAACGAAGTCAAATACGAGGTCATATGCTCATCTAGCGATGCTTTGTCGGCATTGTCCAATGCCTTTATAAGGCTATAACAGGTGTAGCTCTTGTTTCGAACTACACCATACGTAGCTACCACGCGGATACAGACAATGGAGCAAGACAAGGCGGGAGATACCATCGCTTTATGCAACAATGCGCCCACAAAGACCGGGTGAGGCTATTGTGCAGAGACAAGGGACCGGCGACGCCCGTTTCAAGTCTTTATAGTTACTTTCAGAGTACATTGTAGATGCAAACAACAAAGCAGTCAAGGTATATAATTACATCTTGTTCCTCGAAGTACCAGTAACTATCTCGAGGAATCAGACAGGCAATATACTACCAACTCGGAGAGATTGTTGACAATGAGCAAGCGTCGCATCTCAGAAACCATATCACCATCTCCTGATCCACCACCGGCAGTATCCCCAGCAACAGCATCGGCACCAGCACCAGCACCTAAACGACGACGAATGCGACGACAACACCACAGACAGTATTTATCAGTCGACCCTCCATCTCCGGAGGACTACTACCACGCGTCACCTACTACTACTACTACCCCGGTATCACCTACTATCCCACCTGCACCCTCCTCCCCTCCACCACCACAACCATCACCATCCTCACCACCACCCCTACCACCAAGATCCACCCCCCGATATCGACACATCCTCCCAAAACCACCACCACCACCCACTACCATCTCCATCCCCAAACCCCCTACACACTCACCTCAACCCCATCCCCAACCCCCAAAAGGGACCCCCCAACCCCCCAAAGATCATCAAAAAAAGAGAAAGAGTAAACTCCACCCGCACCTCCCCCCCATCCTCCACCACCTGCGCACACCCCTCCACCCCCTCGTCTCCAGCACAACAGGCCACGAACACCCGGACTTCCCTCTCTCCTTACTACAATACAACCTCCTCACGTCGGATCAACTCGACAGACTCGCCGTGCATTTCCATCAGGTGCATCCGCCGGTGCGTGGCTCGTTCTGGTATCCGGTCAGGATTGTGCCGTGGCTTAGATGGGATGATTCTGATGGTAAGGGGGGGTATGTGGGGGATGCGGAGGTGGGGTTGGAGGTGAAGAGGAGGAGGTTTGGGAGGTTTATTGGACTTAGGGGGTGTGAGGGGGATTATCCCAGGGGGAGGAGAGGGAGGGGGAGAAGTGGGAAGGGGAGGAGGGAGGTGGTGAGGGAGGAGGTTGAGGAGGGGGAGATTAGGGAGGAAGAAGTTGTAGATGAGGAGGAAGAGAAAGAGGAAGAGGAAACGGCGGAGGAGATGTTGGCGAGGATGGAGAGGGAGTGGTTTGAGGCGATGGTTAGGGCAAGGTATGAGGGGGAGTATGCGATGAGGTGGAAGATGGGGAGGGGGTGAATTTATTATCATTTATTGGTATCGTGATGGTTGTTTATGTTGTTGGGACTTGGTTTGGTTGGATTATATATTCGTCATGAGTGTGTGTATATAGATGGCGTTATAGTGAACTTCATTGTTGAGCTAATGCCCCATCCCTCTCGCCCAATTCTCCTCCACAATTCGCCAATACTTCTCGCGACTGTGCATTCGGAACGACTTCCCCCATTTGATCATCACCAGGAATACTGCTGCGCATGCCATGCCTACGAACGCAGCGGATATAAAGCAGTTCTGGTATCCGAGGTGGTTTACCCATGGTGTGATTCTATTGCAGTTAGCTTGGGAAGACACCAACGTGGAAGAAAAGGGGGGGCATACCCATAGCCCATGGCAAATGACATGGTGTTCCGAACCAAGATCACGCTCGCCATTGCGTCCCCGCTCAGCTCCCGGTAGCTGTCGACCAGGTAGTTGACGCTCAGCGTGATGCCGCATGTGTTCGCCAACGCTAGCAGACACATCGCGACGATGAGTCCGAACCAGTGCACTTCGTGCGCGGCGCCTACACCCCAGAGCAAGAGAGATCCTGGCACGAGGAGAAGACAGATGGCGAATGGCCACAGGCGCTGTTCGGCTTCCATGACTCCGTTGTTGCGTCGCGCCAGTCGGACGGTGAGCCAGTCGCTAAAGCGGCCGGTGAAGAGGGAGCTGTTGATGTTAGTTGGTTTATTATATACTTGAGAATATCCCGGAAGGCTCACGCTAGTATTGTACCCACAATGCAGGATAGATAGCTGAGTCCGACCATGGCAGAGCTATGCAGGTTAGCATAATGCATGATATAGAATGAAGCAACCGACCTGAAGTTATAAGGCGCGCCGCCCAAAATTATAGAGGCCGTTCCGTTCAGCACATTGAACCAGATAAGGTATGAGCCATAGGAGAACCTGCCATGGTTAGCTATATAAAGTCACTGTTGCGGCAAACATACCCCGCGTAGAATACCACCGGCCAGCTCAGATAGTACAATGTGTGGTAGAACCGGCGGAACATATTGTTCCTCGGCAGTCTGGGCCCTATAAGCGAGAGTTTCTGGAGATACGTCTTCTTCGGATATATCACCCCGCATTCTGTGTCACTCTGCTGTGCCACATCAGCAGGACGTTTCGCCTTCTCACCCTGCTCGGACGTGCGCGAAGAAGCTTCTGTCGAAGTAACCTCGGCGACTGATGGCTTCTCGCGCACGTAGTTTGTCTCCTCCATGAAGAAGAATAAAAATACAATGCTGAAGGCGCAGAAAATGCTGGGCCAGTAGAACACCCATTGCCAGCCTTGGTACTGGGCGATGAAGCCGCAGATGACCGGGGCAAAGTAATTGCTGCCTGCCAGGAAGAATGCATATAGCGCCATGTATGTTCCCCGCTCATGGGTGAAGTACTGAACTGTCAGCTTCGTCTGATAGTATGGAATCCGATGGACTCACCACATCAGTTACGGTTATTTCTGGGAGGGCTTCAATGGGTGCCGTGAAGAAACCCGATAGGATACTGCGCGCGATCCATTGGCCGTTGGTGTGGATGTAGGGACTGTCAGAGTTAGTACTTACACACACGCGACTATCGCCAAATGGGAGAACGTACCCCCACATCGAAGTGCCCTGTAGAATACATTAGTTCTGGTAGTGGTGAGTTTCCAGGGTACATACCAAAATGCCAACCAAAGAAAGTATATATGTCAAACGCTTGCCATACTGCAACGCCAGTGGCTGCCAAAACAAAAGCCCCCATCCGGCGAACAGAAACATATACCCCGTTCCCTCATTGAGAGTATCAACCGACACACCGGTTGCATCGGAGAGCTGCGTGAGCACCGAGTAGACGACCGAGCATGCAATACCAGCAAACAGAGTGTACCTGCAGGTCCCATGTTAGTCCCCGCATCCACTAGATCAACTTAATAGACTCATCCTGCAGACATACACGCTCACACAAATGGTAGACAGGGTCTTCCTCCATGGAGCCCAGTTCAAGGGATCATCGGGATCATTGGACGGTTCCGGAATAAGAACGATGTCACTATCGCCGCGATCCGCATGACGGGTGGCAAGGACATGCTCCAAATCCACCAGCGTCACAGTGCCCGGAATAGCAGTCTGATCAAGGCCTGGGGTCATTTTGTAGATACTGGATTAACCGCGCAACTCGTTCATAAAGAGAGGAGAGGAGGATAGAGAGTGGGGAGACGAGGAGGAATGAAAGGAATGTAACGTCAATGACAGCAGCAGGCGAGGTGGTCGAACGCTGTTTATCAGAAATACTCCGAAAACGACCAGAACAAATCAAGTCAAAGCGTCGGCAAATAGCAAATATGCCATCCCCGCTGCAAGACCAAATTCCTAGCAATGCTGGTAGATAAAGAGTAAGCCCATATAGATATCCGTCAAAGGTCCACCAGCCTAGCTGGTTCTGTTATCATCATCCACCAGATAAGCAGGCGGAAGACATTCCGTTGTGCAGCAAGGAGGCACACTGACAACCGCTCAATTGTTGGCTCTGTTAGCTCTGAATGACGCTCTGTCCAGCTGATAACTAAAGAAGCCTGGGATCCACCTCTGCTATCTCCTCCCAGCAGATCAATCCATTGATGGCAGCTGGATAAGTTGGATAACCACCCGTCCGGCATGGAACTTCCCCGCGCAGGGCCCATTTAACTCCATCCAGATGTCATCCATCGCTAACCGGTTTGATTGCTAAAGCGAGGCGCGGGGCTGTCGGCAAATCGTATCTCGCAGGCTGATCGGGAATAGCCTAGGCTGCTTTATTGAGAGCCCAGGAAAAGACCGTTGATAGCAGATGTTACTGGTGCATCGCTCCGATCGTTCTCTTCGATGGGGACAGATGTGATGCTCACGGACTTACTCCGCTTTAAACATGGCCCCCCTCCAGCACGGATCACACTGGACAGAGCCATGGTAGTCCTTGTACTCCGTCGGGTGGACTCAGCTAGCTATCTTATCAGCTTTGTTGAATAATGATCTGATTCGTACTTTCTCAATGGGGATCACCAGGCTAACGGGGGGGTGCTCCTACCTTTGGACCGGATTTCGGGATATCTGGTGTGCCGGGATCACTCTACGAATGGGCCAGAACAAGCCCAGATCATCGCCAACCCATGGGATGCCCCCAGATCTTATCAAAGATATCAGGGATCCTCCAAGTTGATCATCTCTACGCCGGGTTGGGCCCCAATAAACAAGGAGGAATGGAATCAAACTGCCGCCTGCAGCTAATATTATTCTGGTATCAAGTTCACGAATCTGGAAACCACAGCAGAGAATCTTAGATGACAACCCCAAATAACCACAGACAGGAACATGTAGGAATAGAAAATGAGGCGATATGTGCAGATCTGGCTGGTATAATACAATCTGGCCAGGGCCAGACAATTCCGCACGTAGTTCAGCCTACAGGAACAGGCCCACCAGCTGACTCACGACAGGACTCAAAACAGGTAGACACTGCAGCCCACTAGCTTGAACCACTGGCAATGTCATCCTCCTCGGGAAGATCCTTGATAACGTCTTTCAGGATCTGAATCAGCTCATCAATGTCAGGCCGGTCTGCAGGCTCCACCTGCAGGCACTTGCGGACCACGTCCTTTACGGGCGCGCTGATCTGCATCGTGTTATCTTTGCGGCTATCATCGCCACCGGCCTTGCCCTTGCCCTTGGTCGCACTCGATTTCTCGTCGGGGAACCGCCAATCACCACCCAATACACACATGCTCAAGCTGCCACCTGTCTCTTCGCTGCGGGCTTCAAAGGGACTCTTGCCCACCAGACAGGCGTAGAGCGTGCATCCTAACGACCAGATATCCACCTTTGTGTCAATAATCGAACCCGTCTTAACGTCGAAGAGTTCGGGTGCCCGATATGGCATCGTGCTGTGTTCCGCAGCAGTGTCTTGGACGGCCAAGGCGAGCGACCGGGAGGTGATGGCAATGGGGCTGGGTGCTAACGATCCGAGATCCATGAGAATGGGTGTACGGCCATCATCGGCGATCATGATGTTACCTGCAAGCAAACATTAGCGCACAGTAGCTACAATAGGAGCAGCAACCGTACCGGGCTTGATATCCCGGTGGGCATACGGGCGAAGATCGCCGTCTTGCACGCCCTCCTGACTTATTGTGACCTCGTCATCCATCAATGGCTCATTCTCTTCTTCTTCATCCACATTTTGGCTGGTGCGTCGCTTCGGTTTCGGCATCCGCATAGCAGTGTCCGCATCTGCCTCTGCACCCTCTCTCCTCACAGCTTTAGCCTTGCGTGTCGGGCCCGTACCGCTTTTCACACGGTAGAGATGCATCGCTCGGAGCGCATTGGCAACGCCGAGCATCAGCACCATCAAGCGCTTCTCCGGGAAGCGGGAATGGTTGACGAGGTTCGCATTGATGGCATCTTGTAGGTTACCCCGTTGGTAGTATGGTAGGAGAATGTAGACCGTCTTCGATCCTGCGTCGCCGCCATCGGCGCGGAATTTCGAGCCGGATTCGGTGGACACACAGTGGTCGATGGAATGAATAATGTTGTTCTGGGTAGTGAACAGATTGTAGGCCTCCACTTCCTTCAGCGCCTGGGAAACGGACTCCTGACCGAAGGGACACCGGATCTTCTTTAGCGCAAACAGTTCCGAGGTCGATTTGTCTTGGACGAGGTAGACATAAGAGAAACCACCCTAGAATGATGCGTTGATTGTCAGCATCGCGCATTCCGGGTGTTGTGCAGTAAACCATTAGCCAGAGGCAATCATACCTCACCGAGAAGTCGGAGCAATTTAAAGCTACGATTGTTGATCTTTAATTGCGGCGTGCTGGGAAAACAGCACATGCAATCTGTGAAGTTGTAGAGAAGATCGAAGAAGTATTGCGCCATGGTGGATGGAGGAGCACGCCGGTGTAAAGAAAGCTATTCACAATGCAGCTACAGGAAGCTGATTATTGAGCCGCGATAGCTGTAGGGACGGGGTCCCCGTGGCGACTAGGAGGTGACTACGCGGCACTATCGTTCTGACGGCTGGGATCCACCCCGACGATGGCGCAGGCGCACAGGCAGCAGAAGAAGCCGGCGGAGCAAGGGAGAGGGGAAGAGCAAAAAATCCGAGGCCCTTGAGCAGATGGAATGTACAAAGTAAGGTCCAGCGGAGAAAGGGAATGAGGATGAATTGGGGAGGTTGAAAGCAGAGAAAAGAGAGAAGAGCGTGAATGAATACTTTGGAAGCCGCGTGTTCAGACCGGAGTCGATATCCGTGGACTGAATTGAGGCGGAGTTAGTGAGTGAGTGGATGCAATGAGAGCCAGTCGATGATGTGGTGAGATGGAGAACCTGAGGCATGAAAAGGCATCCACTAGTCATGCGTTAGTCAGCCCGCCAAGGAGCTGGTGGTAAACTGTACTTTTCTGTGGGTAATACATACCAGTATATACTGATACATAGTACTCAGAATGGACGGTTTCGCATGATTAATGCAGGTATGAGCATGTATTCCGTAAATACAAAACAACCACTCGGGCCGGTGGGGCAGGCCACCCGCCGAAAGAAGCAACCCATGGTTCGTGTGTTTATTGTGGCCGAGGCCGCTGCGATGCGAAGATGGAAGAATAATTGGTCTTCGACGGCCAACTGTGACCAACGAGACGGTGTGAAAGGGTCCCCTGTCCCTGCTAGCATGACGACACAGCACTGGCCGTTCAACCTTAGCAACTGTTTTGCCTCTGTATTTCACTCCGTGAGGCAGTGACTGACTGACTGAACAATTCAGTCTCTAGTCCATCTCTTGCTATCCACCGGACGGATTGGCTCTTTCTCTTTTCCGTCCTTCGCTGCCCAACTGAGGCAAACGCTGGACGGCATAAGGAAACAAACCCTCCGAGCCTCTCCTCCTCGCAGCTGAACCCCAGCATCCAGCAAACACCATGACGACTGGCCTATGATCAGTCACCTCTCCAACCTCCCTACTACTTCTGCAACCACCCCTTTCTAAACGCATTCCTTAAATCCCGCCGTCGCAGTTCTCTAAAAGCTCTCCCCCTCCTTCGTGCGGTATAAGTCGACTTCATTTCCACCACCCCCTCTATTTAGCGCACCACCAGTCGTCCCATCCCCCATCGCTATGGCGCCCCTCGACGACGTCCAGGTGGGTGACCTGGTCAATGTCCCCGGGGGTATGTTTGGGACGGTCAAATATCTGGGAAGTGTTGCGGGCAAGCCGGGAAAGTTTGCAGGCATTGAGCTGGCGCCGGAACATGCCAGACGAGGAAAAAACAATGGAGACGTCGAGGGCAGGCGATACTTCTCTACGTCTGTCCCGGGTTCAGGGATCTTTGTGCCTATGAACAATAACAAATACGTCACCAAGCGCTCGTCTGGTCCGACCTCGACAGTGAGCACCGGCCCTCCAACCCCCTCCCGACCGGTCAATTTCAGCAAGTCCGTTGGACCTGGTCCCGCAATGCGCCCACCACGCGTCCGACGCCCTTCTCTCCCCCGCCCTGAATCTCCTAGAGGACCTCCGCCGTCCAAGCTCACCTTGACCGGGCTACGCACGCCCTCTTCAGCCTCCCGCGCGGCTCCCTCCAGCACCTACCCCCGCAGTCCTATCAAAGCCCCGTCGCGCGCCTCTGACCGCCCTCCCTCGCGAGTCAGCCGGGTGAGCACAGAAGATGATGGCCCGGCATCTAGAGTATCTGAAGTTCAGCAATCAGCGATGGCAGCAGAGGTGCAAGAGCTGAAGGATCACATCAAGAGTCTAGAGAACCAACTTCTCGACCGAGATAAGCAGCTAGATGAGCAAGCTCATACCCTGTCCGACTTTCAGAGAACTCTGGAGGAATGGGAGGGGTCAGATTCGCTGTCCATCCGGGCCCAGTTGCGTGAAAGGAACGAGAGGATTGCTCAGCTGACGGCCGAGTTTGACTTGCACCGCGCCGACTTCCGAAGCACCTTGGATACTTTAGAGATCGCTGCTTCCGAGACGGAGCGAGTTTATGAGCAGCGGCTGGACGAATTGATGCAACAAAATAGAGAGCTTCAGGACCGCGGCGAGGATGTCGAGGCTGTTGCGCGACAGCTCAAGCAATTGGAAGAATTGGTGTCGGAGCTCGAAGAAGGTCTGGAGGACGCCCGGCGTGGTGAGGCCGAAGCCAGGGCAGAAGTTGAGTTCTTGCGCGGGGAAGTCGAGCGGACAAAGCTCGAACTACAGAAGGAGCGGGATTCCAAGGACTCCCATGCAGCTAGTGATGGGCCGCAGTACTCGAAGGAACTGGAGCAGAAGGATGATGAAATCCGCGGTCTAAAAGCAATCATCCACTCCTTGAGCCGTGGCGACCCAGATTTGCATGCCCTGCAACAGAATGGATTTGGAACGAGCCCGCCGAACCATGATCCCGACCATGTGGCTCACTTGGAACAACGTGTCGAGGAATTTGAGCGCATCGCCGAACAAAAGACATACCGCATTGAAGAACTAGAACGCGAGCTCCAGCAGTTGCAGCTGAATGGTGAAACACACGCTCCCGGCTCCGCGGTCTCTTCGTCGCCCAACCACCAAAAGTCCCCCAGTGTCAATGGGAAGCTTACGAACGGCCATGGCATCAACCATGCGCATCGGCTTTCGGATCGCACGGTCGTTCCCCACGACTGGCAAGATTTACCTCCGCATGAGGGACAATATCAGGCCTACTCTACCCGCCACCGCGGTATTTCGGATGCTTCTCATCATCGTCTGGAGACCATGCACGAGTCAGACGGCCGCTCGGAGGACGGTGGCTCCTTGTGGTGCGAGATCTGTGAGACAGGAGGGCACGATATTCTGACCTGCACCAACATGTTCGGCGCAGAAAGTAAGAAGGTCCCTGATGCTGCTGAGGCACCCCATGACGACAGCTCTGTGGATGAAAAGCCAACTCCAGAGGAATCCACGGGTGAACCATCCACATCCTCACATGAAGAGGACGCGACTCCTCAGAAAACGGGTCGTGATGTTGTGATGGAGGGACTAAGAGAAGCGAACTTGTCGGCTTCTTCCTCAACCTTGGGCCCTGTTGGCGGCAAGGAAAGCGGCGTCGTTGACGAGTCTAAGTGGTGTGCTCTTTGCGAGAGAGATGGCCACGAGAGCATTGACTGTCCATTTGATGATTGATGGAGGCGGAATGCCAATGCATGAGATTCATGGCAGCTTAATTACCGGATGGTCATGATGCTACGTGCACCGATGATTGAGATGTGTGTCCTATATGTCGGCTTAGTGGACCTATCATTTCTGGTATTCTTCTGTTCAAGGCGCACTATGTCTAAACACATTTTCAGGATATCCTTCTTCTTGTTCATTCACAAACAACATAATCATGTTGGCATTTTCTGGTCTTTCTTTTCTACCTTGGCTGTATGAAACCGCATAGCGCGCTTTGCAAGGGTTGCTGATTGTTCAAAGCGGCTGCATTACATTCCTGTGCCACTACTCTACTAGGCTTTTTCTTATTTCTGTCACATTCTTTAGACTGTTTTACTTGCCTGTTTTGGTCACAGCGGCTTCTTGGCTATGTGGCTATTTCTCTATCTTTTATATTCCCCTATCCAGAACTGTGCCTGATACCTCTTTAATTATACATTCCAATCACAAGCCACTTTCCACGTATACAACTGCCTTGGCAAACACCTAGCATCATACTACTGGTAATTAGAAAGCAGACAATAGATTCTTTTACACAACTACTATTACATCCAACCAACCAACCATATATAGCTTCAACAGGGTATCTCTTCACCACAACACCACCCAGTCAACTGTTAACTAAACACCACCCAACAAACAGCCCCTCCTAAGAAGTCCTACAACTAAGGCTGCACGACCTCCCCCTCCTCATACTTCGACCTCGCGACCACCCCACAAGCCTTACACGTCCTCTTCTCCTCATCGCCCGCAAACTCCTCGACAACCTGCTTAACCTGCGTCCCCAAATCCGTACAAACAAACTTCTTCTCCCACACCACCTCCCCGCAATCCTTATTACGACAATACCACCTCATCGCATCCACCGCCCCTTCTTTCCTCGGTTGCTCCATCACCACGCCCACCGTATCCTTGAACCGTACGGGACAGTGCGGCGTGTTCGCCGGCAGCAGAAACAACGATCCCTCGTGGATCGGGATGTCTTGGAAAGTGGGCGGGGTGGTGGATTCGTCGACGGTGCGGAGGAGCATGGAGCCTTTATATTGGTAGAAGAATTCGGGCGTCGTGTTGATGTGGTAGTCTGTTCGGGCGTTGGGCCCGCCCACTATCATTACTGTGTAGCCTTGTGTGGCGGGTGAGGAGGGGTGGTAGACGCAGTAGTTGTTTACGGGGGGTTGGAGGAGGTGGGAGTTGGTTTCGAGCCTGTTATACTTTAGTTAGTGAGTTGTTTTGATGTCTGGATTTGGGAGGGAGTGAGTTTGTGTTGCGTGTGTTTGTTTGTAGAGGAGTAATGCGGGGGAGGGGTAGTAGTAGTAGTAGTAGTAGTAGTAGTGGTAATTTGTAGTGGCGATGTGGAGGTGGATTACTGTACCATTTGGGGATGTTCAGTGCTGGTGGAAGCATGATGACGATGTGCTGTATCTGTGTGTGTAGTATTGTGGATTGATAGAGTGAAGATAAATATGGATAATTACCAAAGTATCGAAGAAAGCAAGTGATTATAAATGCAGATCAGATCAACCCAACCCATCGCATCTATCCGGTGAAGGGTCCTTATCCGTCCCGGAGATAACCGCGGATTAACGCCGCGCTCGGTGCCGGAACAACTCGGCCCCGGCAGATTTTCTCGATTCGCTTTTTGCGGTCCAGGCGAGCATCTGGCGCCGACGAAGATTTTCGATCTACAGATTGTTGATTGACCACGGAGATTTCGCAGAGTCTCCAGTACAGCTACAATGGCGTCAACGTCTCAACCCCCTCTTCGGTTCACTTCCCACAAGAACTTTGTGTACCGTCTCGTCTTCGCTACGTTGACCGGCCGCACGATTCAAATCTCCCAGATCCGTCCTTCGTCCCCTACGAATCCCGGTCTCGCTCCTCATGAAATTTCCTTCCTCCGTCTCCTGGAGTCCATTACCAATGGCTCCCAGATGGAGATCTCGTACACCGGTACTATCCTTGTTTATAAGCCCGGTCTCATTACAGGCAGTTCGCCAGGCGTGGCCATGAGCAGCGGAGGTGTCGTCAGGCACGAGCTCCCTGCAGGCTGCAATCGTGGTGTGAGTTACTATCTGCTGCCGCTCTGCCTTTTGGCGCCCTTCTCCAAGGCGCCCATCAAGGTCCTTTTTACTGGTCCAGGTGTGATCACCTCGTCCACCCCGAATGGTGACATGTCCGTGGACAGTGTGCGGACTGCCATTCTCCCTCTCTACAACCAATTTGGAATATTCAACAACATCGAGCTGCGCATCCTACGGCGATCGAACCCTGGACCCAATGGCAGAGGCGGTGGTGGAGAAGTTCAGCTAGTTTTTGGCCACCAGCTCCGGCTGCCGAAGACCCTGCACCTCATGAATGCCGGTCGCATCAAGAAGGTCCGCGGTGTGGCCTACTCTGTCGGTGTTTCCGCATCCAATAACGCAAGAATGATCGAAACCGCCCGTGGTGTTCTGAACCCACTCGTCCCTGACACCTATATCTTCTCTGATGTGTCGTCGGCGCCGCTCGTGCCTGCCCCCGAGAAGAGCAACCCTTCCGCGAAAAAGAAGATTGGTCTTGGTTTCGGACTCTCGTTGGTCGCTGAGTCGTCTACTGGCTGCCTGTTCTCCGCCGATGTGGCGTCGCCTCCCGCAGGCGGCGAGGCGCCTGAAGACATTGGGAAGCGATGTGCTTACCAGCTACTCGAGGCCGTTTCAAAGGGAGGTTGCGTTGCCCCTGCAGCTGTTCCGACCATGCTGGGTCTGATGACGATGGGATCGGAGGATGTTGGACGAATCCAAGTTGGTCGGGACGTGATTGCCGAGGAGAGCACCATCCAGCTGGCCAGGGACCTGACCAAGTTCGGTGCTCCGGGTTGGGGTCTGAGAGACGCGAGTGGTGAGAATGAGAATGGGGATGTGATCATCAGTGTGGTTGGCCGCGGCATTGGCAACGTTGGCCGTAAGGTTGCTTGATTGTTGAAGACCCAACATCAGCCTCACATCAACTCCGCGGTCGGCTGTTTCAGGTATTACCGACCTTTTCTGGTCGGTGGTCTGTCCAGTGGAGCTTCAAGGGCCCTGTCACAGCGTGGTTTCAGAGTATGGCCAGTTTGCATCTGATTGCCCAATGTGAGCGCCGGGTACTGCCCCTGGCGACAGCGGTGTATCACGCAGGCGCAAGGGAAGGGCAATGGTTTCATCTCCACTGAGGGGAAAAGCGCAGACCACGTCATTTCTAATAAAAGCTGCATTTCGTCTTCGACCGCCGACTTTTACCTTCTTTATCGCCAAGTTGCATCGCTCACTTGGGTCATGTGCCACGTGGCTGAGATTGGCGCCCAGCCGACAGCTGTTCGCCGCACACCGCAGCCCGGATCTTGGCCTGTTGGATTCCCATCTCCTGGCAGGGCAATTTGATGCTTCGGACTGGCGAGTGGATGTTCTCGTGAGGCACTTTGTTGTTCATATTTCCGTGATACCCTTTATTTGTTTGGTATGTGGGCTTCCACCTAACCGCTGGAGCCACTCGAAGATGGAATGGGATTGGCAGTTCGAAGTAGGGTTTGCTGGCTGCGGCCTAACCGACGTGCTTCATGCAGCAAGTTTAAGTTTCTGAGACGATAATGGATCGTCGTTCCTGTACATAGAAATAGCATGAATATAAGATGCTCGGCTCCGTCCTGATTTCTTCCCCGACTTTGTACTCTCTTGACATGATATAACTCCAGCTATCCACACCGTCGCCTTCCCGCCCACCTCATTAGGAACATAGCTCGCCTACGAATCGGAGAATTTGCCATTACGTTGCCAGAACCGTCGATGCCCATTCGCCCGTGACTACGCCGTCGACATGGATTGCGATACCCGATGCTTCGACTTGACGCTCGTCTTTCCGATTCTTCTAAAGCTGACACCAGATCGATCGTTCGTTTAACGATGCTGTTCGACAGGCAGCCGACTTTGCGAGAGACCGATATCAGATGGATTGTTCAACCCTGACCGTACTTGCTCGTCCTTGGAGTGTCATCCCGGCTTGGATGCAGTTTGCCCGCCTCTCCATGCAGCTCGAACCTTCCCGAAGAGGAAGTCGCAGTTCTGCATCTGCTCCTTCCCTGCCGGTGTCTGTATGCCCGTCTTCGGCCTAGTCTCTCTGGCGATAATGACGGCCTTCCCCTCCCCCTTCTTTCTTTCTCTTCTCTCCCCTTCTATCCTTCTTTCTTCCTTCTTCCCTTTCCCTCCCCACTCTCTTCTTCCACTTTCCACCTTCCTTGCCCTTGCTAATCTGCTTGACTGCCATCTCTTCACAGGTATTCCTCGCCGTCGTTCCTTCCCTAATTCTGCTTCGAGCGATTTCATGAACATGCTGCTTGGGTAAGTGCTCGTTCAGGTCTGGTTGGGCTGACCGCCGTCTAGGCTCTTTTGGTGGGCATACCGAGGGATTTGACCTTGTCTAGCATGGGTTCCATCAGAGCTTCTCTGGTGGTGCTTGTGTGACGGCAAGGCAGTTAGCTACTAACTGAGCAACAAAGCAGGGATAGTTGCGTAACACCTCCTTTCTGAGCATGAGCCGCCCCGTGGGCAGGCCCAGTAAGTGACAGAGCTTGTGAGTCACAGCCAGATGCTTTGCTGCTTCTCATACTGACAGTCACCAGGCTGGCTAAAAACATGCAACCCACCACGCAGGCTAGCTCCAAAACGGAGATGCTCTGGTTAGTCCTCATGCTCACCATATCATGCCTCTCTAACGTAATCAGTGCCTTCCACCCATCCTCTTTCTCCTCCTCATACCTGGCCACCATCGGCCCTTCCTCCTCTCTTATCGCTCCTCCTGTTTCTATGCCTGGCGCTGTGGCCATGCCCAGTAAGTGACAGAACTTGTATGTCATACCTCGTCAGCAGGCTGATTTCAGAGCTGACTGTTGTAGGCTGGTTAAACATCGTCCGCACGTCAGGCTAGCCTCTACCGTGCATATGTCAGTGCCCTTTTCATATTTAGGGAGAATCATACGCTGATTGTTATAATAGCCCAGCACTAACTGCCTGCCATTTATACCTGTCAACATCTCTCTTATATGGCTATGGCTAAAACAAGGCAGTCATCGAGCGCTGGGATATCCCGGTTAATATCCACTGGGGCACCTACCATACACAGGAGGGGACATAACCAAGAGCGAGTACCTGCACAGTGGCAGGCCCAGTAAGTGACAGAGCTTGTAAGTAGTACTGCCACTTATTTGCAACTGGTACTGATGGCTCTGCAGGCTGGCCAAAACACAAAGAATGCCACCCCGCAGGGAAGCGAGGAGAGTTAGCGGATAGGTTAGTGAACCAGAACAGATTTCCCTATATACTGGTACTAACCATCTCATAAGGAGACTGATGGTGGTTGGGGATTATATATTCAGATTGACTACTCTGTATCGTCCTGGTCAAGGTTTTTACCCTACGGGGAGTTTTCCTTGGCTGCAACCCGAATGGGAGGATAGAAATCAATACATAAAATTCTAACATTTTATAATACTTCAAATTAACGTAGCTTTGTTCTTAAGGTGCTCTGTAGACCATCGTAGGCTCAGTCTTGTCCACTGCGTTGCAATATCGGTACGACTCCGTCTCAAAAATCCATGCCTCGATTTCTGCGAGTTTGAGGGAATTGACAGTATTCAAGGCCACATCCTACTTCACACAGTGAAGCACTGCATATATAGCATAGCATCCTATAGCCCGGATCCAATAAGGTCAAGCAATGTGAATGCAACTGCAAGTTACAAGAATAAGTTGAATTAAATATAGATATAATTGAATCGAATTGACACATCAAAATTGAATAGTCCATCCTCGACTCCAAATTTTAAAAGACGACTCCACCAACAAACTAAACAACTTACCATCTTCATCACTGCTACCACATTAGAGAAGCCACCATATTCGCGGAAGTCTCCACACACCCATAGATTGACTTTTGAGCAGAAAAGATCAAAAAGTCGTAAAACAAAGACATATATTATCCATATCAATAATATTATGACACTGAGTCTCCAAGAACAAGCCAATTATTGAATATATTGAACTTAACACAGGAGGACTAAGCCCTACTCAGAGTAGCAGCGAGAATGAGAGCCATACTAGCGAGAAAGTCCCACGAAGAACCCACCGAGCCCTACAACCTATCATACTTCCTAACAGACTTTCTCACACATTCACCATTGACATCATCATGGCACTACCAAAGGGAGAATTCATTGCTGTGTGCACAATTACAAATACATTTACTAAATAGACCACTTTTATTGCAGGCTGAGATACTTGGATCGCAGCTCAGTGTGTCTCAGGCCCTCCTAGACTATCTGGTGATAGGCGACTAGGGAATACTAAGAGTAATTATCAGTAATTATGATCCTCGATGGCTAATGATTTCTGGTGTAGTATTTGGAATAAGCTCGGAACTAAGGGATATTATTCCACAGTTTACTACAGCTAGACTGACGGTTAAAGCGAAATAATAAACCAACTGGTCGAGATCTGTCCTTTTGGACTGGTATTCCCTACTGCCCTACGCCTAATCCATACTAAATAGCAGTATGAATACCTCAACAGTTGCCTCAATATATAACTTTATCTGACCTGGTACTAAATTAAGAGTATTTATCAAGAAATACCAAAACACGCGACAGCATATGACACCTTGCAAGTCACTGCAGTGTTTATGAAGAAAGCACACGATGCTAAATATAGAGCTATTTTGTTCAAGAAAAGCAATCTGATCATGCTTAAACTTAATACTATACCACAAGGATTACCCTATCCAGCAAACTCGGCAATCAGTGCACCGGAACCTTTCAAGGTCGTTGAGCGAGTCGGACGTCTAGCGTACAAGCTTGAGTTCCCCGCTGAAGCTGGTGAATACATCAGGGATAAACACCATTGCATTATACTACGCAGTTAGTTGTGACCAAGTCATTGAAGTTACATAGTTAGTATGCTTCCTTGAGTATACCTTTAATTCGGGTGGAGAAACAAGGAACAAGGAAAGAAACGAGCAAATGCTGCTTGCTGGAACATATCCACCATCAATCTGGGATATATTACAGCTCATTCCTATGGAACTGGGATAATCCGGAAAGGATTAGCAGCGTGGAGAAGCCAGATATTTACGACAAGAGATAGCACTTATCATACGATCACATAAAGAACCTCATGTGCCTGAGGCCTACCTCTACCAGTGTACGTGGAGTGATGACCCTTTTTTTGTACTACATCCGATAGGATATACAATTGTAGTAATACAGGGACAACTCTATGATGCATGGGCGTACGCGATAATGCATGAGGCGTCGATATCAGGAGCAACTCGAGAGGACACAGATGGAAGCGAGATTTCACCGCACGTGGGCCACCTTCGATCTGGGATGTTTGCTACTGAAGAGGCGGAAGAATAAGATGTAGGAACTAAGGACAGATGACTGACTGTTTGGCATATTTTTATATAAGGGACGCTTTTTATCAACGGTCAAGGGCGGAAGGCTGAAATTCTGTTATGGTGGATCACGAGGTAAATTAGGGATCAATATGATGTACTAACAAGGTATTATTTCAGCATTGGCAACATATCTCAGAGAATCTTTCTAAGATACTCCAATACATGATCAGGTAGAGTTCTATAGCTATCCAACTTTCCTCCTATGACAAGGTCTTCTAAACTTGCTTTCCTGTAACCCTCAACTTCCCATAAATCATCGGGAAGCATCTTCATCATTTCTCCCGTCCCCCACATTTTGCGGCAATAGGCCGGGACAGCGAGATTGCTCTCCTTGCTGAGAGAATCCTCAATCCTTTGGTTGATTTCCTCTAAGCTTCGTGTCGCAATAGAGGGGTCCCTGCCGTTCTTCTCTTTCATGATCGCAGCAATTTCCATGCCTGTTGGTGCAAGCTCTGACAATGTGATAGTCCGGTTCTGGATAGTGTGTATAGGTCTAGTGGTGAATATGTCCACGTACGCAGCTGCTACGTAGTCCTTGGTGCTACAAGGAATTAGCTTAATCATCACACCCAAAGAGGGTTTTTAGATAAAGGGAGTCTCTGGGTGAAAATGTTAACGCACCACATAGTGACTCTTTCGCTAGCAGAGTTGCCAGTGTAAACCATTATGTTATTCTGCAAATCAACACCCACTGCCCTATAATTTTTGTGGAAAGTCGGCTTACAGCATAAACATCCCGAATGATTGGTTGACGACTGACGTTGTACTCAAGGTATATTCAGCGAAATTTCCAACGTGGACGACGGTAGTCGGAATTCCAGCATCCTTGGAAGCCTTTTCGACTTTCGCTTTTGCCTTCATACAGGGCATGCGCATTCCCTGCTCACAATAGCGCAGACAGAAATCCGAAGGAGAGAAAAGCTGGACATTAGTCCTAGGAATGGCTTTCACAAAGCCATATTGTCTGTCGGTTCCCTCGTCTCCAACAAGAGAACTTTGAGACAAGTTCATTAGCATAGATCCCAAAACGTTATACATGCGCAGGAGCTCTTGACTAACATCGCAATGTCTATATCTTGCAAGGCATCAACTAAAGCGTCTTCATCAAGAACGTCGACTTCAATCTTTTTCACATATTCCGGGAGATTGGAAGTATCCGAGCTAGGGCGATGCAAAACTGTGATTGGAGCTCCCGAGGCAATTAGAGCAGGGACAACTCGAGATCCAACGAATCCACGGTGACCATAGACAGCGATACGGTTGAAGGCCATGATTTAAAAGATAAGAGGCGTCTGGGAAAAAAAATGTACAATGGGTGTCGATGGCTGTTGGGATAGGGCCGGTTTGAACACTTGTATCAAGTAATAAACAATTACCAGCTGGAAAAGTAGGATCTTATATAACTTCCAACATATAGATCTGCGGGTTTCATAATGAGCATGAGTCACCTTCCTTGCGATTTATAAGAAAGAGTAGCCGGTCCACGTCGTATAGATCAACAGGTTCGCAATTTGGCCAAAAGAGGAAGATAGATTACCCCTAAGCGGAATACTACATTGACCAACATCTCCCTTTAAGGCTAATGTAGCTCATCCATATCATGAGAGTTTCCTATTTGGGCCATTTCGCGAGGTTGTGGGGATCCGCCCGAGTCTGCTCGAATCATCTGAGGCGATGTGCCCACTCTGCCAATGTGGATCTCTTCTGATCCAACGCATGTGAGGCTAGATGTCCAACTAACTCTATATAATTGATGCCTAGTATATCTCATTAGATAAAAAGTGGGTAGCGTCCTTTTGTGAAGCAAGCCATTACTCCCTTCAGCGGGGCAACCCAGGGAAATCGTAGCCATCACGATCATCGCCAGAAGGATCTGCAATACTTCCCGCTCCCCTCTAGTTGACAATTCTGGATAGACCGAATGCCATATCCGAAAGTTCCCAGCTTGGGAGAGGCAGACCGGCAGGATCATATATAGAAAGATAAGATCAGAAGAGAAGGAGCATGTTGACCAGGTAGGGAAAGAGGAAAAAAGAAGGTTTTAACGTTACCAAAGTTGTATGCAATGTTAAGTTAATCATTAGCGCGACAGTATGACTGAATAATAAATGTTTGGAGACTATTCTGTACTTGAGTCTTGGAACAAACAATATTTCCATGAATATTTTAGTTGGCGTTCACTGGTCTCTTTGCTATTCTTGAGAGGGGCTTAGTGTATTCGTTTAGCACCAAGTTGATAAACTAGTTTTCTATGTATTCTTCTATTATTTACCAGTATCTACGAAACATACTGCTAGGTACTATGAGTAATATCATACTATGTCAGTAAAGATGAAAGTCTAAGTAGGAGAAGGAAGACTATAAATTTAGGTTATAGCTTCGTTTTTTATGTTTCTTGTTCTTAATACAAATAAGTCAACTCACTTTATGAGTTGAATAGTACATGTGAATTTGTTCCAAGATTCCATCCATCTCATCAATCGCTATCATTATCCATAGCTTTTAATAAGACGATATCTTAACCATTGAACTCCATCAGCCAATGTTATGAGAAGCGTCGTCATGATGCCAGATAGACAACGACAGCCCGCGAAACACTCGAGCGGAGCTCCTCGGCGAGAGTCATGGTGCCGAACGAATATGCGGGATATTCGATGAACCGGAAAACAGTTCCAAGTGCAAGGGTATAAAGCAACGGTAGTGCGATGCTGATAGTAGCCTTATATAGAGTTGAGAAGTATGGTCGGTTGATGATCGTGTGGGGTAGACCATACTAGAGCTCCTAAACAGATGTAGAGACGCATATTATCTGTAGCGACTCCCCCGACATCCTTCATAAGAGGGCAAAAGCACGGACAAACATGTCCGGAGACTCTTCCTCATCTGGGCCCAGTTTCTGGAAAGACACTATTGACGGGCATTTTCTGTCGGTCCATTCAGCCAAGTACAAAGTCTTGTGCGAAAGTATCCCCGGCGATTATACATGCCACTTAAAAGGGCTGGGTAAGTCGCACCTCGACGTAAGTCTAATAAGCAGACGAATCACTTCAATTATTGTCCATGTCCTTTAGGGGGCAAAAAAATAGACAAGTCTGTAAGCTTTCACTTGTCTTCACTCGAATATCTGGAAAGACATGTTTGGAGGAAGCTATCCATGCATCCAACTCCATGAACTCCTGCGTCATTTATATAGCGACAGCGTGTGCCGGTTGAGTAGATCGCACCAGGATATAAGGGGCCAGTCATCGTTATATAGTGATAATTCGCTTAGGCAAGGCCTTATATCCTTTATAAGAAGCGTATGCTCTCGACTTTGGACCCCCAGACTGGAGGGAGCGATCGTAAGTCACCATTCATATTGAATGGTGAAGTAAATCAGTAGACCGCGGCCCTGGATGAGTGGAGTCTTGCGGGCAGTTCGAAATGAGGGTAACCCTCTCATAAAAGGCAACGTCAATGATAGAAGGACCGTCCCGAAAAGGGGTATACTATGTATATTCCCAGCGATCGCCAGTCGTTTATCGTCTTGGCTGGCCTGGATTAAGGGAAGCTAAGTCGCAGATCGAATTGAGAAAATGACCTCGTATGAGGCTATCTGCGCAGGTCTTCATGTATAGAATGCGCCATGCGTCTATCCTCAACCGCTCACTCTCACTACTCCGTCGAGTCGGCACCGCGAACCCCCAGTCTAGTATATGAGGCTCATGTAATTTATCCATCCAAAGATAAATTTGATAAAGTAGTGCCGAATGTTTAACTTATCCGTGTAAAGATGAGCATGATCCAAGGCTCTTTGGGTCTTTTAGGTAGACCATTCCAAAGAAGAGCCAGTCAAGCTTGTTCAGAAGTGGAACAATAATCCACGAGGGATGGTACGTCCATGCAATAAGTAACACGACGATTCAGCTGGGAAATTCGCCATTCTATTCCCACAGGTACCATCACTTAATCATGATGGTTACTTTATTTCTGGATCCTGCGTTTTGTTTTAAACCAGGTTATCTGCCTTTTGCTTTAATCTTTGGCGTGATAAAATGGGAATAAGAATTGTCTTAAATCTTTCGCCTTCTCCGCATTAAGCACGGAAGATGGCTAGAACGTCTGCCATTTCTGTTGCGACGCCAGAAAGGATCCGAGAATATGGCAAAGAGCATCCCGACGAACAGGCTCAGGAAACAAAGACCGTCGCTGCCATAGCTCGAAGCCTTATACGCTTTCAAAGACCAACTGAAACGTACCGAATAAAAGATAGAAGGTACTAAACAGGATGGCGGAGAAGATGCAGATGTTTAGGAACATCGGTTCTAGCGTCAAAGGTTGCACGGACACGCCATGTGCTAGGTACCCCTTTGTCCTCGATATTAGAATGAAGGAAAAAGAGTATCGACAGCTTTTAAGCATGCTTAGAGCTTCATGCTCCGTCCACGTACGTCCCAGAGACTAGGAAGATAAGTCGTAAATATAAGCCCCGTTGTCGATACGTTCAAAAGAAGACCACCATAAGTAGTGGGAAGCGAGTCTCGAAATGACTATCTCGGCCTTTAGGGATCATATAGAGATAAGACCGTTTGTTCGGTCGATAAAGTATCTTTCATAGGTACCATAGTACTTTTAATATAGTACTATGGTACTTTTATGGATCGTGCCTTTTAGGTGTGCAAGCATGCTTGGCAGTAATCGGATGAATCTACATTACTGCCGGAATACGGTACTATTGTACATTTAAAGATCATGCCCTTGTTGCTTCGCAGTAATGGGATAATTCATCATTACTGCGTATAATAATGCTGCGTTGTTAAAAGGCCATTAGTAAAGCCCATTAACAATTTGCCACCATATAGCGGATAAGTTCGCGGCTTCTCTTCGCGGATATCAAATAGAGATAATATGGTGGCATGGCCATCCTTTCGATCAAGATATGGTACCTTAGTACCTGTAAACATAATACCCAGACCTTCGAAGGACTGGTGGAAGACAAGGACCGGGTAGAGCGTCGCGAATTCGTCGCCGGTAACTCCCAGGTTCAGACCAATGATGACGGAGTGGAAGATAACACCGAACTCGAGAATGAGGAAGGCGGCAATCTGTTGTTTGAAGGACCTTTCGATCAATGTGTCAGTGACCTCGCTCATGTGCATCTTCCTCCTTGACTTTGGTGCCGAGCGCTATGTCGAAGTCAAGTATGGCGTCTGCAGAGAGGACCCCGAGCCAATCATGACCAGTGCGGTGGATAACTCGACTGTGGACAAGGCATCGCCCGGAAACTCTAGGAAGAGCGAGGCTGATGTGGAGGAGTTGTCCACCTACGCCAATTCGCAGTGATCGGATGAAACCACACTGCTGTGTACAACAGCTAATGCTGCGTCGATAAAAGGCGCTGAGAAGGCCCAGTGTACCAACTCGCCATTCGTAGAGCGTGACTTTGCGGTTTTTCCTTCGCAGGCGATTAAGCGGAGATTATAACGCGTCTGTCCAGATCATAGATAATAGATAATATCTAAAGGGCCGCTTTATAACTTTTCCTCGCGTGTATAGATGATTCACTAAAGGACGGAGCCGGATGAGTTTTGTCTGCGCGCTGGCTGGTTGGAGGTTCTATGTTGCAAGCCTGATTCCAGGAAGATAAAGAGAGGATAAAGAAGCATCAACCAGGCCCATCGAAACAGGGGTGAGCAGCTTCCAAGCAGGTCGCTGTACCTTCCAAGCAGCAACTATCAATCAAGCAATCTAGCAAGATCAATGGAGCGTAGACAAGTAGAACTACCACTCGCTGAGACTTTTTGTCCGTCAGAAACGCAAGCCCAACCGTCAGCTTAGTGCTTAACAAGCAGAAGTAAGCAGAGAAACACTAAGGCAGTCGACGAACGCCTGGGGTCCTTAGAAGCGGGGAGAAGGACATCAATATGGAAGATCGGCTTTCCTGTCCTTGTGGCTAGTTATGATGTAAGAAGTAGAGATGTTTTTGACTAGCCAACGTGGCTCGTGGCTTCCAGTGGTTCGTAAATGCTTCCTTTTTATGTTCAGGACTTGGGTTTGTGTAGATAGAGAACCCAAACCACTGTTCTTCAGCTGTCGGAGTCGCCACTTCCACGAAGCGCTGATATATGCGCATATGGTTGGCTTTTTTAGAGGCGCAGTCGGCAAAAGGTATTAAATTTGAGCCCCCATGTTGTAAATAAAGAGGGAAACCCGAGTCAGAGGGAAGACACCAGTTCCCGATCATCAGGAAAATATTCCTTGGCTATAATCTTGATACCTCTATATAACATTCGTTGGATCTAGCCTTTGTAGATCAAAAGTAGAACACCATTCCGACATGGTGAGGTAGAGTAGGACGAGTCTTGTCAACTTGGCCTAATAAGTTGCCATGGCATTGTATTCCTCCTTTGAACGGTCACTGTCGAGGGAATAGAATATATATCTAGTCAAATATAAGCCTGGCGTCTTCTCTTCGACCATTTTCTGACCATGAGCCCGATAATAAGATTGATAGAGCTTCTTTTGGAACTGCATCACAGCCAACGCAGTGATTGAACCAGTCAATCGGCAGCGACTGAAGTGCGTGAGTTCGAGGAAAGGTCAATTGTAAATTGGCAGGTTCTTTTTTTTTACTGGAGCATTGCGTCGAATGTATAGTGCGCATGGTAGAACTAACCAGTCCCAGAATTATTCGAGTATGTCATTGTCGTCGGATGCTTCTTCGAAGTCTATGACAAGTCCCAGTTGTGAGCCACAGATACTGCATTTCGACTTCCATGCAGGATCCAATCTGACCCCTGTCCACGTGGCTTCTTATTCGATAGATGTGACGATTTGCTTCGCATAAGCCAAAGAGTGCCAGCATTATGGCCCTGTTCTTAGCCAGTATCTGCCGATGTGAGGTGGCATGTTTATATAGAGCTTTGCTGATAACTCAAGTTTGAATGGCACTGATTCAAACCTTTCTTGAATTATATAATCTATTTCTTTGGACAAGAAGATTTGTTCGTCAACCTTAGTCCCCGGAACTTCGAAACTTGTGGTCGGCTTTTCCATAGTGTGCGACAGAGGTTGACGTTGCTCTTTGTGGTCTTGGTGGAAGTGGGTTCGCTAGGTATGCCAACGACATTCCATTTTCCTTTTCTCCACACACTACCACTCACTAGACTCGGAGATCACTGAAGAATGTAAGTGGAACAACGCTAGCTTATTGATAGCCTCGATGCTGTGATTAGATCGAAAGGCAATACATTCTTTTCGGGAGCTAGAACGCTGCACCATCGTATCGGCTGTAGGCTAGATACTTTCTTGTTCTTCCTCTTTGTAGACGGACAGTCGAGTTTCTTGACAGGATCATCCACGTATCTTGTTCGGTATGATAAAAGCACACTCATTCGAAAGTGATCTCGTATGATTCTAGCGGACCGCTGAGCTTCCCATTGCTTATTCAATGCAGCTGTCTCCGAGTTTCGATAATTCTCAGCCGCATTTCTCCTTAAATTTGGCGTCCACCAGACCTAGAAAGGAATGAGTATGGACATGCGAAAGCGAGGTATAATTAGCACGAAGAGAAGGCCGTCATGCAATTACTATATTCCACTTTGCTGTCCGTCAAATATGCAGCACGAGCTTTTTCGAGTTTTCTCGCTAGTTCTACTATAAGTTTTCGATCAGGATGGAACAGCGCTTTCATTGTTGGTATAATGTTGTGCAAGCCGCCATTTGTTCAAGTTGTGACGGAAAAGCAAACGGCAGGGCCATTCTTGCTCGCGTTGCTGCCTTGCAATATTCCCAGTCAAAATGGCAAATTTAGCATGAAGGATCTTCATGTGTTTAAGCAGCATGTACTGTTGCTGTAGGTTGTCAAATTGTTGAGTAGATGCTCCAGTTCTTGACGATGGTAGAAGACACCCGCCCTTACATGGAAGAGTAGAGATAGAAGCGAGGTGCCTCGTCGTCAGATTTGTGCAAGATCTTATCGAGAATGAATCCAGTCACTGCTGCATTGGACAAGATGGAGATATATAGTCGATCAAACTTCTCTAGTGAAGTTACTGTCGGCTCCCGTGCATGGTGCAAGCAGCATTGGTGGAACTCTGCAAGCAGTTTCGGAAGATCGTAGCTGAACTCGATCTTCAAATTTCGCAATTATAAAATCAGAACAAGGAGCGAAGACTGTGTATAGAATCCGAAGATGAAGAAGCGATCTATGGAGATTCTTCAATCGATCGATCGAAACTCTGGAAACAGGTAGGTTAGTAACCACATAGATAGCATACAGCTGAGCAACAGATAACTCACGGAGGATATGACCGCTTCCACAGACACCAAGCCTGAGAAGGTGCTGGATACCGTCTCGTCTGATCCCTTCTGGCGATAAAACTGCCACCAGGCGTTAAGTTGGCTTCAAAATGAGCCACTCTATATAAACGTAGGCAATAGACCGTAGCATGCTATCATACTTTGCGTACATAGTAAGCCAGAAGACGACATTAATGATGGCCTTGATCTTGTTCCACATTCGTTCTTGAAGTGAGGATTATAGTGAACTTCCGACCCATTGTCGTCATCATCTCCGACGCAAGATATCTGAGATACCCATGGTCATTTTTTCTCCATGGGCGAAATTCTCACTTCATTCTCCAGTGGATATAGTCATTCTGAGCGACCCATTCACTTCAGAATGATCGATAGCTGAATAGAACATCATACTGAAGTCGAGATTGGGTCACTAAAATCCTAGCGCGCTCACTTTTCGATAGATCGATAGCCCAAGCCATAAAGAAGGCGATCCAATGGCTTTAACTTGTGCGTTTGAGCTGAATTGGTTTGTGAAGCAAGTTGGTTGTATTGGCTTTTATTAAACCGCGCAGTGAAACGGTAATCGAGGAGCGCTTTCCACTCGAAAGTGTAATATAACCTCGACTAGCTTTCTGAAGCCTAAGAGAAGCGTCCCTGTGTTCTTGAGTCTTAGCAAAAGAATTGACTCGTCTGAGAAATGAGCTATGAGTTATATAGATGTAACGGCTTGGGTTTTATGATCCGGATGAGTGGTCCCAACATCGACGATATCTCCCAGCGTGATAGAGGAATCGCCCTGCTGGGGCTCTTATGCAACCCCAACCACTGCTGATTGCAGCATCGAAAGGCAATTGTATTTGCGAAAGTCTGTTGTGGTCGAAAGGTAAGCGCTTTCGCATCAGCCAGCCAGCTTTACAAAGTCATTCGTGATGCGTATGGGCCATGGCACGGGAAATTGGGTGCTTCAAATCCTCTTCATTTCTTTGGAAAGCAGAATGCGTTAGGCGTTTTTGTAGAGATGGTTGTCGCTTTGGGCTTGGTTCATCTGTGTGTTTGGGATCAGGTGAACGCTTGATCGGCTAGATCTACCTCTAAAGAATAGGAGATTTTGAAATGTTCCGTAGATAAAAAAAGATACAAGAACACAGGTATGTATTCATGCAGAATGAGATTAGTAGCCAGTGTCGAAGGGCTAGTAATTATTGAGAGTGATCAGAGGACGAAAACATGAAGCCATGGTCGATGTCACCCGCGTTTTTGATCCCAACGTTCAAGCAGGCAATTTAGGTATTTGCGTGAAGTGTTTTCTTCCAAATGAGAGCCTGCGTCGAAGGATGGAGAGCGATAACGTCGTCGTCTCGATCATTGATCTTCACCAAGCTTTGGCATGCACCGAGACCAGAGCCGGAGTGTGATGTAGATGAAATTAGAGTTCGACTGTTGACACGAGGTTGTTAAGAACCGAAAGTGCATTCGCGACAGAGTGCTGTCTCTTTATCATCGCCCGAGAATTCGAGCCAACCACAGTAAATCTTGGCTGCTTCCTCTTTTGTGAAGAAAATCGTCGCAACCGACCCATTGGATGCATCGCCTTCGGCCATTCAGCTCAAGAGAATTCGACGCCGGATTCTAGCAGATGGTTGCGGGAAGAAAGAGCAATCGAAGAAGTATGTTCCCGGCAAGATAAGAAGAATCAAGCGATGGGTTGGAAAAGGCGATACCACGGTCGCTTGCGTAAGGCCACTTGAGAATTTGAAGAAGTAGATGTCGCTTCGTTATCCAGAACGTGTGCCAACAATTCGAGATGGAGCATTTGACGCAAGGCGTTTGCTGTCGGTTCTATTGGCAATCACGGCTCACCTCAGGACCGATGAATGGAGAACTTGTGTAGAGCATCATCGGTGCACTTGGCTCATGACGGGCAAACAGATCACCCACTGTGCCACCTGCTACACTAAGAAATGCGCTCCCAGCAAGACCGTTGTTCGAAGCTTGTTCAAACTTTGCTCATGGTGATTGCTAATGAGCTTGCCTTTGCCAGTTCGATGGCCGAAGATGGATCTACCTTTGCTCGTTTCACTCTTTTTCTGGTATGGCTGATACCATGCGACGTGGCCAAAGAATATTTAGATGATGATAATATGTCGCGATTTTCGACATCTCTTCCATTTGAGCAGATGACTCAAGCAAGAGATCGCCTTCAGAAAGATCCAGAATCTCCCCAGTAAAGTCAAGGTTGAAAGCAGGCTCGAAGGCCGCATATATAAGATGAATCTTCAAAATACCCGTCCAGGCCCAAAGTGAGAGTATTAAACGGAGCGTCGTCAAGTTCAGAGTCCACCTAGGTACTCAAGCAGCCGTATATAATATTCTTCGTCTTTCCTTTCGACGAGAAGACGCGATTGGCAGATACCGCATGGAAAAAGCAACTGGACATCGTTGTGTGTTACGATGAGTTATAATAGGCACCATAGCTGCTATAAAATCGACCAGAAACTGTAGCAAGGCTCAGTGACGCGTTTTTGTGAAGCCATGCCATGCTTGGAAGATTCGGCGATGCAATAGTCATAGCTGGGTCGCTCGATCGAAGTGAGCTTGAGGTTTCGGATGCGGTAGCAGAGGTTGGACAGCTTTAGGAAAAATGCGTGAAACTAAAGCATCGGAACTGTAGATTGCGACCGTGATATTATAGGCCCCATCAGATATCGCATCGCTGCTGGATCCGAAGATGATCGTTGTAGTCTTATAAGAGTCGACGCAGCAGTGTGCTGAGTCACTGGGTCAGATTGTATATAGATTGTGTCGGAGATCTCAAGACGGCTGTGAGAGTGACAACTAAGTCGAGGTCACCATCGATATACGAAGTCGCAATCGCGCTTTTGAGTGGCAATGACACCTACTAAGCCTCCGAGTGATTCCACCACCATTTTGTATTCTCGCTTATTTTCTGCGATGATGAAAGGTAGGCGATTTCCACGAGCACCATACGTCGCTGTGTAAAGCGAGCTTGTGACGCAGTCCAAAATCACAGCTGTACGTAGCTTGGTGCTTGGCTTTTGGTCGTAGCCGGTGAGAATGATGATATCCTTGTAGACTTCGTGCACGAATTTGCATGTCTCGTATGGGCTTTTTTCTTCGAAAAGCTTCCTTTGAAGGACAATATCGTAATCGAGACGCACTCCGTCATGGTTCATACCAGAGCTCGGAGGCCTTCTATATATAAGGGTTTTTTTTTTCCCCTTTTTCCTTTTCTTTTTCCATTTCCCTTTTTCCCTTTTCTCTTATCTTTTTTTCTTTTCTTTTCTTTTCCCTTGCTTCTTCCTTTATTTATTCTCTTTCGAAGGTAGCATAATCAACGTCCTTGACCGCATGAAGAGCGTAGGGTTACCAGATCAGTCAGAGACGTTTGTAAGTCGAGTGAGTCTAGCCTCTGAGTTACCAGCCATCATCCGAAGCGACGGAACAGTCCGGCGACGATGATTATTGCAGGCAATTCATGCCGTGTGATTCCAGATGGCTGTGTCCCATCATCCAAGATCTTGCGACGGAACATCGCAGGCAATTTATGCTGTGCGATTGCCGACTTGCTCTCATCCGTGCTGATGACGAGCCTTGTGAGCACCGGTGGCCACGATGACAAATTCGCGAGCATCCATGATAGTCTGAATACCCACGGTAAGTGACCTCCGCAACACCAAGTCCAAGTCATTGCCAAAGAACCGCGAGTTAGCCAAGATTGTGTCATATGCCAGGGTTTTAACACGAGTACGACTGTTCAAAGAGGAGCTTGGTTCGTTGAAAGTGATATGCCTGTCTGGACCCAGACCACCCAGGAAGAGCTTAATACCGCCATAGCGAGCAATTCGCGCCTCAAAGGATGAATACTCAGCCGCGAGATCGGGTGCGTTGCCGTCGAGGATATTGATGTTCTGGGGCGGAATATCCACGCGAGGATGGTCGATGGATGTTCTGATTCCCATGACTCTGGACTGGTGTTTCAATTCACCGAATATGGCATCCTTATGAGCGAATAGATCGCGGATGAGGCGATGGCTGTGCCGTTCGTTGATTGTAAGGCTGCTCTCTGGACGCAGATGAGAATGCAAGGAGACATGTCTGTCAGAGCAAGTGCAGAGATATAAGTTTCGTCGGCAGATGTAAGGTCAATCAAGCGTAGCAATGCTGTCAAGATGGAGTTGTCCGAGAGTGCTTTGCAGAACCTTTTATGCTGTGCGATTCTTAAAGGCCTTGTCCATCATCCGAAGCCAACATGTTGCAATGGAGCAATTAAGTGACAAGTCCTCCAGGCAATTTATGCCGTGTGATGCCAGATGGCTGAATCCCCTCATCCAAAGCCGACATGGTGCGACCGAAGAATCAGGGGACAATTCCCGCAGGCAATTTATGCTGTGCGATTTGCCAGTGGCCTTGTCTTTGATGCCTCCCTCGTTATGCTGGGGAAAGATGAAGCGTTCCGTAGTAATTGGCAGATCCTGCCTTCAGTCAAAGCTCGAATACATAAGTTCGAACTTGTTGGCTCTGTGGACCTGCAAAGGTGAACAGACCGATGAGCTTTCGCAGCGACCAGTTACCATATGAAGGTGACACGATGCGACCGATGGATCAGCCGACGATTCCCGCAAGCAATTTAAGCTGTGTGATACCCATTGGCTGCATCCTTGATGTCTTCAGCGCTGCTTCAAGGAAGATGATGCGTTCCGTAGTGATTGGCAAACCCTGCCTTCAGTCATAGCTCGATGAGATAAGTTCAGACTCGGTGACTCTGGATTGTCAAAGTGAAAAGAGCGATGAGCTTTCGCAGCGACCAGTCACTTTTGGAGGGAGACATAATGCGACGGAACAATCAGGTAGTTCTAGGAGACTTTCCATTGCTGCGCAAGTCCTGGCGATTGTGTATCACCAACCTGGAAGGCCATCGTCGTAAGATTGGCGAGAACGATGCCTTCCATAGTAATTGGCAAACCCAATCGCGGCGACACTTTTGGAGAAAGTGATGCCTTGCGTCGTATTTAGCGAACCTGCGCCAATGCAATTGCTTTTGGTAAATGCCAGGAGCGTTCAGCCGACGCTGGCCGGTCTGGACGAAACACTTGTCGCAGACAAAGTCATCTGTTCAATGTCCTTTCCTTTGTTGATGCTTCCCGCATTCGCCAAGGCATCTTGTACACTGGAGTGTATATAGGAAAGTATGGTGATGGCTGTACCTTGGGAGTTGGCCACGAGGTACCACCAATGAGTCTTGTTTCCGAGTCTTGTGAGTCTTAGTGAGAAGCGTTTACGACAGCAGCCAATGTCGCAAGCATTCTCACTCCTTAAGTTGTCCTCTCATTCCTGGGGCTTCCGATGTCCAGTCCTGTGGCTTCCGATGTGCCAAGGCATCCTTGACGAGGTTAGCTTCCATCGCGTATATATATTGCCTTGCGTCGTAGTTTTCGAAGACGGTTGGTGGTCGTTTGTAAGGCCTTTGCCGGAGCCATCGTTGTTGCGAGAGTTAACGTCTTTCACTGGTCGTAGTCGCGTTCGAAGGTATTGACTCCAGCCTTTATATATATGATTAAGTCAGGCTTCCCAGTGATAGTGCCTGCAAAATACCTTGAATCCGATGTGCCTTTCGTGATGGTTCTTGAACCAAGGTACACCAGCTCAATCCACTTGGGTATGAAGTTGGAGATCGGACAGCCAATGTCAGGCTGACAGAAAGACAGACCATAGTCTATGCAGCGAGCAGACTGAAGTTTGAGCTCATCGCTAAAACTGTTCAGCCCAGTCATGCGTACGAGTAGCCGGGTTGCGGTGTTTCTCCAATGCTGGTTGTACTTCATGAAACCGCAGTCTTGTCCAGAATGAGGGCAAAGCGTTTCTTCTCGGTCTTCGAATCGCCAATGCTATCTTCAATGAGGAGCCATCACCATTGCCTGCGTTCATGCCCTCCGCTTCGGTGCCGTTCTGGCAAGCTTAACCTCGATCATCGATATTCGAGAAGTGAAAGATGTGAGAGACATGAGAGATTTGAACTGCTAGTCCGATGTCTTTCGTCGTGGTGTTTGGAAGCAGTGGGGCGTTTGCACATGCTGCAGACGTTGAAGTGCAGGACCTGGCCAGGATGTCATCGACGCAGTCATAGAGTGACGCAGCGATGTAACGGCACAGTGACGAAGTGAAGCAGCGATAAAGCGACCAAGCAATGAAGCGAAGAAATGCTTTAGGCTTCAGGAGATGAGACAACGGAGCAGTGGACGTCGAAGCGAGAACGCCACGGAGCAATGAAGCGACGGAAAAATAAGAAGACCTCGTCGCAGTTCAAGATTTTCTTCGCTTTAATGAGATTCCGGTTTCAGGAGAGCCCCGTCAACTGATAGGTTGCATCGAGCGAACTCTTCCAATGTGGGAATCGAAATGATGCTCCTAAAGAAAGCTGCCTCGTAGAGTTTTTTGATTGCCACTCTGGAGGCTATATCGGTCGTTCAGGGACCAGCCGCGATGGAAAGTATATAGAGGCTGACTGGTGCCTGCACAGTCGCTATATAGAGGGAGCAGTCGAACGCTAAGAGGAGCGACCGTCCAACGGACAATGTCCCTCAATGTCTCCTTCTTCCGAGCCCTTTTGGAGCTAAGCTAAATCAAGCTAGCTAATCGAAGCGACGGGGTGAAACCTCTTGCTGATTGTAGCGCCAGTATATAGAGCGAAGGAATGACTTAAGTTTGTCGTTTCGAAGAACTGGTTATTCGGCTCGAAGCAGTGAGTGGAGAGAGAATGTATGACTGCAGAATGTCGAAAGCGTACATCAGTGGCTCTTCCAGCGCGGCATCGACGAGCCAGCGTCGCATCACGAATAAAGTTTCGTGGGCTCAAAGGATCATTATCGTCCCAATCGACGAATCCTTCTGAGGTCTCGAAAGCTTCCACACTCATCCTGTCAATATACAGCGTAGGCCAAGGAGCCGATGAGCTGGTGCTGGATCGCTTGAAGTGACGAAGATCTATTATCAGGTCGTTTTCGTCCCGATCAACGAAGCCTTCTGATGCCTCGAAAGTTTCTCTGTTTTCTTCCGATGTATAGCGTAGCCCGAAGAGTCGATGAGCTCAGAATGTCGGGAAAATATATTGTATACGATACAGTGGTGCACTTCTTCTTGCCCGCTGGCCCTTCGGATGTGTTCGATGGCTTATAGTGTCGATATATATACGCAACGACGGTTAAAATTGTAATCACCATTCGCGACACTGTTGCAAAGCGTCGAAATGTCGCACACCGTTTTGGAGATTATATAATTATGCACTGATTGGCACCTTATCCATTGTGTATAGGTGAGAGCTGTCAGTGGTGTTGATGAAGACTGGGCCAGCCAATCAAGGTCGAGAAGTCTCGTATATGCCATCTCCACCGAATGATAGATGGGGTAGTATAGGAATGGTCTCGCAGCGTATATACCGTGCCGGGCGAGTTGCCGTAATCAGAATCGTCGGCGCAGGCCTTCTCCATGGGGCTTGATTTCAGTATGTCATAAAAATCACTAACGCGGCCACAGATCATCGGGGGTGGACTGCACGTGAACGATGGAGACTAAATGTCCCGCGGAGTTGTGCAAGGGCGTCTCGGAGTTGTTGAGGCATCATGGCGTGATTCTGTTACGAGAGACAATGCAATAAGGAGTCGTAAGGGAGCCACGAACGAGGCGGCTTTTGGAGAAGAGGGTGACGCGAGTCAGAACTGCTGCGGAGATGCAAACCGCTCGGTCGGCGCGTTGGGTGGGGGGCAAAGGAAAGATTAATGAAAATTGGCATGAGGATAAGCATAGAGGACAAGAAATGTAAAATCGAATAAGCACAAAAAGGCGCTTTATGCATAATAATCGAGGGGATGTGGTTGGATGGCCGAGGTACGATCTTCCGGCACAGTGAGCCGATCGAGGGCTGGATCGTCGCCGAGAAGAGCTTTTTTTTTCAACGCTATTCTGTCTTGTTTCCAATAAGAATGACAGAGTGGCAGGTTGCTCGACGGACTTCATCCGAGGCAAGACCGGTGACCCAAAAGGTGATTGTATCCCCATGGTGTGCCCTGACCAAGTGGGGTTAGTTTTCCTGAGTGGCTGGAACCAGGGGCTTTTTTATGCTTACTGTGGGTATCTCGGCGTTAATGAGCTTGGAGATGCCGTGGCAAAGAGAGCCTCCCCCGGCATGCCGAAGCCGAATGTATGCCCACGACGGTCGGGGAATTCGGAGAAGCCGGCTTATGCCACACCCATCGTAGCCGGTATTTCCCCGGGGGGGTTTTAGAAAATACTCCGTATGCAGGCTGAGATTTTCCCGTTTCGCTAGGCGAGATGAGGCGGATGTTGCTGCTAGTCGATCTCATCCCGCCCCAAAACTTGAGTGAGGCCAACTGGACAGGCCCACGTGGCACCAAAGAGAAAAACAGCACAAATGAGAGTCATAATGAAGAAGAACAGAAATAATACCACAAATAAGATGGTGTGACGTATAATGGAAACAAATGAAGGTCGTGCCATCGGAACAGACGGCTTCTTAGGGTTGTTCCCCGCTCGTTAGACTAAACCCCCATCCCCAAAAAAGAAAGTGATCAGGTGAGGCGATAGAGGGTCCCCAAAGCAAGGAATATTACCCCTCCTTGACAAGTTATGATGGAGAGTGTGAAATGAGCGTAAGAAAGCGGTAGAAAGAATGTGGAGGAGGCAAAACTCTGAGTGGGGATACATCGTTGACAGAAGGGAAGCAGACAAGAGAATGAGGTTACATCAGAAGCAGTATCAAGCAGGAAGATAAGATATGACTAGATAGGAAGAAGAAAGTATTGAAAGAATACAGTAGCCATCTAAGCTTCGAAAGAGAGTGCGATGAAGATGAAGATGATGAAGATGATAGAGATAGAGATGATTCAAAAGTGTGTATGATGAGCTGATGAGCAGTCAGATCGATGCTTGGGACCTTGCTGAGTATGGAGAGGAGGGGAGAATGCGAAGGAGAGATTTGGAGAGTAAAGGAGGGCGTTTTTATACCTGAGAATCATCAGTCATCAGAGTCCAGATCATCGTTCACAGTCCAGTGCCTCCGTTCACTCTATACATGGGAATGAGAGAAAAAGTCGTGGAATGGGGGCTTCAAACCGTGGAATAAGGGCCCAGATCGTGGAATGAGAGCCTCACGGCGTTACGCTGAACATCAGGATTCACATATTCTCGTGGAATGGAGACATCTCTCGCCCCGAATAGGAAGTGGAGATGGTGAACGGTCGAGAAGTGTGAACGGAGGCAAGAGTGAACGAGTCAATGCGACAAATACCATTCCACGCAGTCTCTCGTAATGAACATCACACTACGAGAAAGTCCGTATTGTGTAGCAAGAAGGGATCGGGTTGCTGTTCACGCAGGAGAACGTGGGCCATTACTAGTTGTCTACCCTAGGGAACTTCCGGTGGAATCACAAATGAAAAAAAGGGGATTGTAGGATATGGAAAAGTCTAATTCTAAATCTACAATGTATCCCAAACGCCTGTGTAGCTAGAACAACAATCCCAAAGGAGTCGTAAAAAGGCTGACACAAAGAATGAGCGCTCAATATAGTGTATGCATATAATCGTTTCACCAGAATTCACCGCTAGAGATGCAAGAACATTGAAACCTAAAAGATGCTGAGGCTAAAATATGAGACAAGAAATGGAAAAGGAACCAAGGCGGTGTGAGGAATCATTCAGACACATCCTCATCTTGACCCGGCCACATGATGTCCTTGCGGATAACGGCCCGGATGGCGCTAACCAAGACAAAGATAAACATGATGATGACACAGAGAGACATGGCGGTGGCCACGCCCTTGACGCCTGGGCTCTCAAACATGTTGGCCAGGGTGATGGTGGCGAGAGTGAAACCCGTGTTGGGGAAGACCATGGCGAACCAGTTGAGGTGGAAACCCTTGGGCGGGGAGCGGACGACAGCAACAACCGCAATGCAGAAGAACCAGAAACTCAGAGCCCAAAGGAAGATGGCCGCACTGACAGCGAGGAACAGCATGACGCGTCCGTCGATAACAGCATGGGGATCACCGACGATCTGGAAGTCATCAGGCAGCGCCTTAGCCATACCAACCAAAGCGAGGGCAGTAAAGGCAGGTGGGCCAACACAGATGAACATGCCAGGTCTGTGTTCGGAACTCGGCAAGCCGACCTCCATGAGTCGTCCGATGTAGTGGGCGTACATCATGAAACTGATAGAGAAACCAAGACCCTGGAAGGTAATACCGGCGATGACCATAGGTATTCCATCACTAGCTGGCTGTCCGCTTGCGATAACGGACGCGATGGTACCGCTAAGCATGACAGGGAAGGCTGGCAGAATCCATGACGGCATCATGGTGTGCAGCTCGTATTTGTGGGTGGCAAAGACAAAAGAGTACTGAGCGACGGCGGTGATCATGGTGAAGCCACAGTAGATCCAGAAGAGGACTTGGAGACACTTGGTAAATTTTTCGTTCGAGTCATCACCAAAGCACTTGTACAAGCCAGTGATCATGGTTGCAATGGAGAGCCAGAAGGTCGGGAAGAAGAGACCTTCACGGTCATGGCCGAGAGACTCCAACATGTTCTTATGCAGGATGAATCTGATGGCCATGAGAGTAGTAACGATGACGAAGAATGCAATGTTGAGACAGTAGACTACCCGGGCAATGTCCTTCAGGCCCTTGAAGTCATGAGGCTGGTTGACAATTAGGAGGGCCAACCCGCCGCAGCTCATGGTCAAGGTATACCAGGCCCAGGTAAAATGGCGTAGACGCTCGCGGAGGCCCACTCGACCTGGTTTCTCGAATGTATGGTTGACGCCTAAGTCGGCTTTGTGATTGACAGATATCTCGGAATCATGGTTGGCATGTTTCTTGGTCTCATGGTGGAAGGTTTCCAGATCCGAACCAGACGAGCCAGGGAGGCCCGTTTCAACGTTCATAGTGCCGATCGACTATGGTCTATACGGTGATGTATAAGATATGAGGTGAAGAAATCAGAGATAGGAATAGAGAAGAGGTGTGAGGCAGTGTAACTGATGGAGAGCAAAAGCCACCGGCTTCCCTGCTCGTGAACAGTAGGAGAATATCAAGAAGTAGACAATGTCTGGTTCAAGTGCCTCGAAAGGAATGAGCCAGCCTTTTAACCAGGGAGGGGTGACCAGGCCTTAGCAAGCTGAGCGGACCCGTACTACTATTGTACACCGGGGGCCCACAGCGAAACAGCACGGAAAGACGTTTTGGGATACGGAGAACTGATTTGATAATTGTGGAGTGGATATGAAAAAAATTCTGGTAAGACAGGGTGTTTGCTCAGGTGATGCAATGGCTTCTGGAAGAACCAATTGTTCCACGAGCTCGACTACCAGCGATGCATTGCACCTCCAACAGACAGGACATTCCACAGGTCATATAAGACTACGCATCAACCCCTATGCTTTGGGGCTACAGTAAGGCAGTGCTTCTTGGGCTGCCAGAAAGATCGTCCTTCAAGTGTCAACACAGCATAGCCAAGAGCATAACAGCCGACCTGCAGGGGCATGGCAAGAGCGGTTGGCTCACCAGGCGAAGAGCATCACAGTCTAGACTTGAGATAATCAGTATCGCGGGGCCCAATATCTAGGCGTATGTAATATCCAAATTAGGTCAGGAGAATTAGGAATCATAACAAGGGGGGGGCCACCATATTGCCAAGGCGGACAGGGATCCACGGCACTCAGTCGAAGCATCATAGGAGGCGAAGGTTGAACCTGATGGCTAGGGGAGCAGATGGTTCATGATCCTCAACCTTCCAGAGACTCTCTTCCGCCAAGCCATGCGAGGTTATGGTTCTGCATCAGTGGGTCGGTATGCGTCGACAACGTCAACTGGCAGGCAATTCAGTTCTGGGTAGAAGAATTGATGGTATGCGCCACGCACTGTGTTATTATTATCACAGAATTTTACCCGTTTTGAAGAGTTGGGGTCCGGAAATTCCCCGAGAGTGCGGACGTGCCCATTGCCAGCATTTGTCACCGCAGAATCGCTGCCACATCAGGGACCACAGGTCTGAATCAGCCAAGAGACCTGTATAACTTCGTCTCAATTTTGAACTGGTGGTGATACATCTGAGTTTGGATGAGTGTTGCTATCGGGGACAAAAAAGCCGAATTTTCGAGGATTGATTTTTTTGCCCCTGGATCCATCCCGAAACCTTTTCGGCCCATTGTGAGTTACGACATGGGCCGCGACGGGTGCGGCAAAAGGAGTGGCCAAACGGGAGACGGTCGATGCTAAGCCCTGTTCGGACCGAGGATTAGGTACGGGAGACAGGGCCAGGAAGGTACGAGACGAGAAACAGCAGTAGCAGTAGTAGCAGGAGGACCAGAGATAGTACACTTACTCAGTCGGGAGGCAGTCCCAAAGACAAGGTTGGAGCTGGGAAAGTGGAACTCGATGGACACCATCCGAGCCAATCAAGCAGGCAAACGCATTGTAGTGTGCATCCAGGAATCTTCAACGTGCGCTGATTTCTCCAACCTGTTTCGCTCCCCAGATAAGCGATGGCCAAGAGGAGGATCGACAGCGCACCATGGCATCTCCGCTGCCAAGTAGTGGTGGCTATAAAATGCCCAGAATATGGGAGAGGAAGCGAGCAGGAAGGTTTTTGCCAATACTATTAAGACTGCGGGAGACTTCTTGGGAGGTTCGGGAGTGGACAGTCAGAGAACTAAAGTCGACGGCAACCCAAAGAATGTAATGGAGAGGGGGGATCGGAAGTGGGCCCTGATCCATGCAGGTGACCCATGGATGGCAACAATGTAAAAAACAGGCCCATATACAGCATAAATTGAGGTCACCGGTGAGGGCAAAAACTGAACCCATTCAACCAACTGGATGGGGGTGGGGGGACAGACAGACAATTGGGAAGGAGAGGATGGAAAATGAAGAAGTTGATTGTGTTTGTGGGAAAGTGAAATTTGGGGGGAAGGAGCGGAGGAAGACGGAAAGGCATCAGAGGAAATCCTGGCTGGGCATCCCTTGGCACGAGTTTCCTCCGGAACGTTTGACCAGATGAACCAGATAGTAGATAGTCCAGATAGATTAGACAGTTAGAGATAGAACTGATCTTCTTCTTACTCCTTCACAAAGTCAATCCCGATCCTTCCCTTCCGTCTCTTGGATGCTCTTGGCCGGATCGTCGCCAAGCATGGCTCAGCCCTCTATCGAGATACTTGAGACTCGATAGATCGTTGATGAAACTATCTCGGCGTTCTTGTCCGCTGGCGATCCTCTTCTTGTCGCCTAATCCTCGAGTCGTCATTCCATTCTGCGACTTGAATCCCTTATCTCCTCGCCTACTTCGTGGTACTCCGGAACTCCTGGAAAATGTGATTGCCTACGACATGCCAAGCCAGTGGCGATGCACTTCCTCATTTTCCCCCCTTAGAGTGCCTAGAGATGAAGCGCGAGTTTGATGGCCACTATCTACTAGGATTCCGTCAAGGCGACGACATCGGCTGCAGATGATGTCCAACGCCCAGCTCTTCACGGCAACCCGGATCGGCTTCTGGACCCCCTGCAGATGGACAATGGCCCGCAGTGACACGGCTAGAATTAGAACAACTACCCGATAACACAACAGGGAAAGTAAGACGAATGCTGCCCGCTGCAAGACACAGGTCAAATCTTAGGCAGGCGAAGAATCTGGAACTCGCTTCGCGCGGCTTGGATCAACATGCAGAAACGCTAAACATGCACATGCAACCTGTCCCAAGACAATACAATACGCTATCAGGATACCTCATTGCGACGCAAACTCGGCTGTGCTTGTTATTACGCATCCACGATGGAGCCAGGGTAATTCATAGCAAATAATCATTCAACATCATATACACAAAAGGAAATTCGTTGTTGGCAGTGGGAACGATGAGCGCATAAACTTTGAAACAGACTCCATACACTTATCTGTCATCCCGTACGCCAGGTCATGCATCTCATGCCATCTGTCGTGCGTTGTTGGTTCTGTGGTCGTGCATATCTGGATATACATGTAGGAAGGATGGTTTGAAGTTTTCTTGAAAGAATCGTATCGAAAGAAAGAGAAGAAGAAACGAGTGGAGAGATCAGATGCAGTGCAAGGGCATTCACATCATCATCCGATACACCAGGTCCGACGCAAGTTCGGTGGTGGTGTCCAGCAAGGCACGGAAGCCCCGCGCTGAAGGCTTCAATGGCTTGCTCGACGGAGATACAAGATCACTCTCTACTGGCGGAGAGTAGGCCGCCAAATCACGCACCTTGCAGGCAGCAAAGTGCACGACCAGCTTCCGTAGCTCGTTATCCCGCAGTGTAGCGGACGTGGGGGTGATCGGCTCCAGACGAGTAGTCTTGGTGTACGTGTAGTGCAGGAGATCAAGGACCTTTCTGGCCTTGGTGGTGTTGAGGCTATGCTGCTCCTCGTCCTCACTCTCGGTGCTCGATTCCGCGAATCCCAGGTACAGCAGGTCGCGATGGAGCTTGCGGAGACAGAGCTGGGCCAGCGCAGGGATCAAGTATCGGGTCGCAAAGACGTACAGCTTGGCATGGAAGACCAGGTATGGCAGCTCAAACGGGGACCGAGCAGACATGACGCTTGGAGGCCTCGTCACGGAGCAAGAGCGGGGGTCGACGTAGTCGATGGCTGAGAACTCGTCCCAGAGACTGGTTCCTTTCTCGTTCATCCGGGAGTACTGCTGCCTGGCGAAGGAGGTGTCGATCATTGGACCCGTCTGTCGTCTGGCCGTGACTCCCTGGTGCTCTTTGGACTCTTCCCTCTCTTTCTGCTGTGTCTCTTCCTTCTGGTCTTCGTTGTCCTCTTTGCTGGGGGCGTCTTTCCCATCTTCTGGAGGCGTGGGCGCAGTGTGCTCCCAGCTCTCGGTGGGCGATGAGGCCGCAGCCGCAGTATCAGCTGGCTCCGGAGCAGGAGGTGCCTCTACAGTCTCAGGAGCTCGAGTGACATCCTCAGACACTGCGTTGGTTTCAGAAGCAGGATTGGCGGCCTCCTCTTCCGGCTTCGAGTTCGAGGGGGGTGGCGTGGATGGAGGTGTCAGGTTGGGCGCGGCTTCCTCTGCGGCCGCTCCCTTCTTCTTTTTCTTATCCTTCTTATTCTTTTTACCTTTCTTTCCCTTGGATGCATCATCTCCAATGGCGTCCCATCCATCGCCGTCATTCTGCTCCGCTGCGGGAGTTGGAGGAGGCTGCTCGCTTGCCTCTTTTGTCGCAGGTACTGGTTCTTGAGGCTCATCATCAGCAATGGCACACTCCCAGTCGTCATCCTTGCCCGGGAAACTGTGCTCCACTACAGCGGGCCTGTGCTCTTCGTCCGGACGACTCCACCCATCATCGAGAGACTTGTCGTGGTCGTCCCCATGGGGTTGGTCTACCGGTCGACCAGGGGGTGTCGGGGCCCGCGGAGGAATGGCTGCTGGGCTGGAAGGATCGTTGGAGAAAACGCCGCGAAAGGGATTGTTCACGGCCTGTTCCTCACGGTCCTCTTCGCGCGACCCCTGGGGTGGCACACGGTAGTCGCCGGTATAGGCGTACTCGCAGAAGGCGACGAAAGTTTCGACGTCATACTCTTCTAGGACAGCGATGTGATGCTTTGACTCGCGGGTCTCCCCACTGTTCATGAGATGGTCGAGTGGCTGGGAGACATGACGGGCGAGGCCGGACTGGATGGTAAGCTTGGTGTGGTTGGGGCCGACCAGAAAAGTAAATGGCGGTGAATGGACGATGCTGTATCCATCCAGAGCGTGGTCAGTGGCAGCACTGTGGTGGTTGGCATGAAGCAGAGATAGAAGGAAAGAAAAGAATCAAGCGCAGAAGCCGGACAAAATGGTGTGAGTCATTCGAGAGATCGCAATGGCTAGAGTCCCAATTCTGGTTATGATTGAAGGTCTGCACTCACCTACTAAAGTCCCGATCAGACTCCATTGGCGAAATCTGTTGCGTTCCTTGCGACTACAACAAGAATTGACTTGAAAGCAAAAAAGGGCCGACAGACAGACGGACTCAGAATGCGATTAATATATGCGATCCTTGAATACTCCTGACTGTCCGCCGAGCTCTCCACTCATACATGCGCCCTGGAAATTTTCCCCTCCGGGTGTCTAGTCCCTACGCCAAAGCAACTATAGGCGCAGGAGCCGACTAACTGGGTCAAGGCAGTCTGCTACGTGTGCATCGCTAACGGGTTTCGGAGTGGGTTGACCGCCAGCTTCTGCGATGCCAACCAACGGCCCGTTCAGTTCGTCTTATCGCGACCACCAGGTGATGCATGGGCGTCGCTAGCCAGAGATCAGCGTCATCGGACTGGCTAAAACTTGTAGCAATATTCCCTATCCCTGAGTGTAACATATGTATCCTGCACGAGCTGCAGTAGAGGGGACTTCATAGATTGGTGATGGGAAATCGCCCGTTGATCCTCATGCCCAACCAGACGCTCGCTCTCAATGCAACACACGAGACAGAATCTGCTCTCCAGCGGCAATGAAACCAACCATAGGAGTCACAGGATGGCTGGGATGGTTCGCATTCCCCACTAACGAGGCCAATCCTTGCCCATGTGCGGGAGTGGGTGTTGTATTGCTGGTTCCAGTCATATTGTTGCCCGATGGGAAGCCTTTTGCATCCCAGCCTCTTAGGGACCCAACGGCGGTCAGCTCATTGGCGTAGAAGTTCAATTGCGGTGGTGGGGGTGGTTGGAGTGCATGGTCAAGTGACTATTTTTGTCTTTTCTTATTAATTGAAAGTGCTTCATAGATTCGTGTTTGCAGGTTCAATTGATCATCCAAGTGTGCTGATGAATCAAAGACTGAATGTTCAAGTTCACTTTTTGAATCCTGGAAATGCGGAAACGTGCCCTAATCCGCAACACCGGGAACTTCCTACACTCTACGGAATAAAAATATGTAATCGTCTTTCGAGTCATTCAATTGAAACCGGAAAATAAAATAAAAATCTCTATAAAAAGGCCACAACTGTGGGACCCTCGCGGAAAATTATCCACCACGAACTGAACTAGATAAGTACAATCAGTAAGTAGTAGTTAACTAGTTAGTCCCTTGCTGAAGTGACAGCTAGATACTCCACTGACAGCACGTCGACCACGAGTACGGATAGATGAACTACTATATTATAGCTGCTTAACAACTCAGAGCATATGATTGACTACATTGATGTCCAATCATCGTGGTATTTCATCTCGGCAATATACTTTCTCCCATTGATAGTAGCAGTAGCAGTCTATGCACTCATATTTTACGTAGTAGTAAAGACTGTGATTAAGAAGGGAAAAGATTTATTGCATCCTCATCATTCTATCATCAAACCTCTATACTAGTATCACATAGATAATCATGGTATCTCTATACATCCAAAACCCCCCAAATATCATACATAACACACCATCCCTCCAAATCCCATTCCCCCAACCAAAAAAGACCAACCATCTAATGAACCAACCTAATCTCCCTACACCCCGGCTCCCACTCCCTCAACCCCTCACCCACACTATACCAAAACCTCAACTTAACACACTCCCTCCTCGCCAACTCAACATCCCCCCTATCAAACGCCTCCCCAAGAACCCTCACACACTCCTCCACCCTCCCCTGATTCTCCACCTTCAATTCATTAATCTTCTGCTCCGCAGCCACAGCATCCTCCCCGGAATCCGTCACCTCCTCAATCGTCTCCTGCACCTCCATGACCTCCATCAACGTCTCCGCATCCAACGCATGCTTCGATGCCCCATCCTCCGCCGTGACATCTATCCCGTGCATCTCGCGCAGGAGGTACTGCGCCCGTTGCAGAGGGTCCAGCAGGGTGCGGTATGCTTCGTTGATGCGCGCTGATAGCGCCTCCGCTTGTTGCTTTTGGGGACCCTGTGGGTATTTGTCTGGGTGGATGAGGGATTGCCAGCGGAGGAATTCGCGGCGGAGGTCGGCGGTGGGGATGTCGAAGGGGGAGGATGGGGGTGGGCCGGCCGGGAGGGTTTTTTTGAAGATCGTGTAGTGGTTGGTTATGTCGGGGGTGGTGTCGGTGGTGTCGGTGGTTGTTGTTGTTGTGGAGGCGAGGCGGAAGGTATTGATTGTTGTTGTTGGTGATGATGGTGATGATGATAGTAGAGATGATGGATGCTGTTGGTGTAGGTAGGAAGTGTGGGGTGTGGGTGTGCGGGCTTGAAGGATGCCTGTGCGGGCGAGCCGCGATGCAAGGCGGCTGCTTCGTAGCATTGTGTACTTTGTGTGGGTTGCTGTGAGGTGTCCTGGTTTCGTTGGACTTTGGTAGTTGTTGGAAAGATGATGCTCGGACTCGGAGATGACGGTTGTTGATGGATCGTCGGATTTGCCTCGGATTTGTTAGGGCGGTGTGTGGCAATTGCTGGCAAAATAGGTGGCGGTTGCAGAGGGGTCATGTGACTATGAGGTATATTGTTCACCGCTTTCTGTTTGAGATAGGAAACGATGGGATAGCTCCTGTCTCACCATGTCACACTCCATGAACATAGTAAAAATACAAGACGACGAGGTGTTGTAAAGCTAGATTTGATACTGAATAGCTTGGTGAAGATATATTACCGATGAACGATGTATATTCCTTATAAGTCTGGGGCGTGAATCGGATGCTACGCTACAGTGACGAATTGCCTCATCTTCACAGCTGTACTTACGAAGGACTTCACAAATAGCAATTCATGGGCAGTCGTTATCACTTGATTGTTCTATAGTACATGTACATCATTCAATTCCCCAGAGCTTCACCGTCCGGTCGTGTCCACAACTGGCAATCCACTGGGCATCGGCGCTGATGTCGGTGCTGAGGACATTACCCGCATGTCCACTCAACGTCTTCACCAACGACCAGTCATCCGCGCTAAAGATATTCACGTTCTTGTCAAAGCCACTGCTCACAAAGAAGGTGCCTGACTTCTTGGGCTGCACAGGCGCCGGAGCTTCATCCGTTGGTGTGGCACCGTCAACGTCCATGCGGCCCTCCGCCGAGGGAAGGAATGAGTCTGCCTCCGCGCCCTTGTACCATCGGAGATCGGACACCACGCTCTTATGCGCTCCAATGCCACCGCTATTCCGAACTTGACGCAAGTCCCAGCACTTGACCCAGCCATCGCCCGAACCGGACAGCACTCGGTAACCATCCACGCCCCAATCCATTCCGAAGATCTCCCGAATATGCCCCTCCAGAATCATGACCGTGCGGCCAGTCCGGAGATCCCAAATCCGGCCGATGCTGTCCAATCCGCCACTTGCCAGGAGCGAGCCGTCATTGTTAAATGCGACTGTGTACACCTCACGGGAATGTCCTTCTTGCAACAAGAGCTCGGCCGTAGTTTCGACGTCCCACAGTCGCCAGGTGGTATCGTAAGAAGCAGAGGCAACATATCGGCCAGATGGGTGGAATTCCGTCCGGCAGACACGACCGCTGTGGCCAGATAGCGTCGCCAAGGGCTGATCCTTGTCTAGAGACCACAGGCGGACATTTCCTTCACCTCCTCCCGACACTAGATTCACCGTTGACTCCGACACATTCGACGTAGGCAGCGTAGCTCCGGGAAACCACGAAAGCCCACCAACTCGATCATTATGTGCCTGGAGTGACAGCTTCTCTTCAAGATTAGGCACTGTAAGCAAGCGAATGCCACCGCCCCAGTTACCGGTCGCAATAGTTTGCCCGTCGGGGGAGAATCGACAGATACTGACGGGGCGGTCGCCCGCAATCTGGGACCCGTACAGATCGAAGTTGTGTAGCTTTTCCTTGATCGCCTTTCGATGCTTGATATGCGTGCGTAGAGGTATGGTCGATTCCTCCTTCAGTCGGGCCACACGCGCCTTTGCGCGAGGTAACGAGAAACGTGCAATGTCCTTCCGGGCCTGCAAGAGCTCGTTGGTGCCCTCCGTATAGAATTCCTCCTGCTGCTCTGCCTCCTGTTCATCGCCTTCACCCATGGCCTCCATCATTTCCACATCGCCCTCTGCCGCCGCGGCTTCTTGTCGTTCTGCCAGATCGGTCAACAATTCCCGCAGTCTGTCTCTCCGATCCGCAGGGCCTTCTCCAAACAATGTAATCGGTTCGCCCAATTCGCGTAGTCGTGCGCGCACCCGGCCATCATCCGTCGGGACCGCCATGGCTGCGGCTCTTCGTTTCCTTTCAAACTGTGACAAGATGGCTGACGCTCTTTCGGCGGGAATGCCCGCTGCGGCGGAGGGGAGGTCATAATTGCGGTCGACGGCTAAACAGATTGGTGATAAGCAAAGGGTACATCATAGATGACATGGCGACATAGGATCTTGATAGAGGCGCAATACTTACGGATGTTCGCCAAGTCAATGCCCATGTCTGTGTCCTGGTAACGATGTCAGAATATGAAATGTCAATAGGAACCCTCCGGTGCTAGTCTACACAAGTGCCAGGAGCAGGAACAGATAACGATGGAGAGGGTCGCTCACCTCAGCTTCCTCCACGTACGCCTGTCTCGACGGGTGCATCATGATGGGCGCAGTGGGTGGGGGGTGCGCAGATACTCCGACAGTTTAGATCCGACACGAACAGCCACGGTTGATTTGAATGGGATCGGAGCTTGAAGCGGTTATCCAAAGGAGATCCGTCCAGACGCGCAATAATATGGAGAATCTGGAACAGAAGGGGGGTTGGAGTCAAGGAAGATGGAGGAGTGGAAAGACAAGCGGAGGCCGAAAAGCAACAAAACGGCGGCACTTTTGCTTTCCTTCCTTTCTCGGATTTCTTCTGGCAGCCCGAAAAAGGCGGCATCCACCATTCGATCGCAACTTCCCTCTCCTCTCTCGTGACTGTTCTTTCCTCTTTTTTTGTTCTATTCTGGCCGTTTGCCTTACAGGGTGACACTGGCATGCACGATGACGACCACGTTTTCAACTCTTTACTACCCAACCCAGCGGTGTGCTGAATCGGTGAGTTTAATTAAGTCCATGGTTTTACTCTGGAGCTGCTCCGCGCCCGGAGTATCTACGCTCTTTCCTCTCCTCCATATGTCTCTCAGCATCCCCTCTGCCTTCCTACTCGATTTCTCTTTCCTTTCTCCGATTAGGCAAGCAATCAGCAACTAATCAGCGACCAGCTCAAACAATTCGCCGATCTGCTTATTCGCAATCCCTCTTACTCCTCGATGCTCGCGGAGGCGGTCGATGACGCCAGGCGGTCGGGAGTCCCGTCGGGCCCAGCAACTTGAAATTTCCAGCTTGGATCGCCTCGTCTCTCCCCTTCGCCTGGCCTCACATAATCCGCGACTTTTTTTTTTTTTTTTTCTATTTGATCAGCCGGCCATTTTTGGCCCTATCGTGACCTCTCCAATCTTTCAATTCCCCGGCGACTGTCTGGCTCGCCATTTCGCATGCTCCCCCGGTCTCCTTTGCTCCATCCCGACTACTTCCTGTTCCTGCTGGCACAGACAGGATTCAAGGTGACGATCCGGTCCTTCGCTGATGATCGCACTGGCGTCTTCCGGTAGAGCCTGCAGTAGCCTACACGCCGTTGTTAGGGACGGCTTCTTGGCCTCTGTCTCGGCTCCGAAATCCTCTGGCCTCCGATACTCCCTCGTCTCCTCCCTCGCCTCAACATCTCGTTCCCCGCGATTCTCCCGCCGTGCCTTTCATTCCACGTCGCCGTTAGACTCGGCGACTCCACGAATCTCATATCGCGTCGCCGCGTCCTCTTCCGGCAAAGGCCGCCGGTTCCATCCGGCCAAAAACACCTATAACTTCACCCCCGACCTCCACGAAGCCATTGGCGTCGCAACAGACACAGAGAACAAGGCGCTCCGGCGAAAGAGGAGGCCCGATAGTGGTGAGGATGCGTTCTTCGTGAGCAGAGTCGGCCGAAAGGACTCTGGCGCAGTAGCCTTTGGAGTCGCCGATGGCGTGGGCGGCTGGGCTGAGTCGCGCGTCGATCCAGCAGACTTCTCGCATGCGCTATGTGGCTATATGGCTCAGTCGGCCATATCCTGGAAGTCGCCCGTCGAAGAATTACGGCCAAAGAACCTCCTCCAGACCGGATACGACCAAGTCGTAGCAGATGAGACGATCCGAGCCGGAGGCAGCACCGCGTCAGTCGGCGTGGCATATCCAGACGGACGAATTGAGCTGGCCAACCTGGGCGACTCGGGCTCAGTTCTCCTTCGCCTTGCCGCCGTCCACCATTACACCGTCCCGCAAACCCACGGCTTCAATACTCCATACCAACTCAGCATCATTCCGCCGCGCATGCGCGCTCAGGCGTCCATCTTTGGCGGCGCCTTTCTCGAGGACTTCCCGCGCGACGCGGCCGTCACCAACCTCCATATGCAACATGGAGATGTCCTCATACTAGCTACTGACGGTGTTTTCGACAACCTCAACAATCAAGACGTGCTCAAGCTTGTCACGAGTCGCATGGTTCTCACGGGCGCCTGGACCGCCGATCCCGACGCTGGCATCCGTCCCTCGGAGGATCTCAAACAACTAACCAGTCCCGAGGGTCTCTCCTCTCTTCTTCCTACGCCATCCTCCTCACCCTCCTCCGACCCCGACTCTCCGAAATCATCCTCCCCTAGCACGCGCCAGCAGACCTACACCCTTCAGTCCCTCATCGCCGCCACGATTGCCGGCGAGGCCAAACTGGCCAGCATGGACATGCGTCGTGACGGACCCTTCGCCAAGGAAGCCCAGCGCTACTACCCCGGTGACTGGTATCGCGGCGGGAAAGTCGACGATATCAGTGTGGTGGCAGTAGTTGCCGTGGACGAGGGATACTCAGGATGATGAGTGGTTTTTCTGCAAAAGCGAGGCTTCTCTGCCTCCAGTATAATATTTCCTTTCTTTTCTCTTACTGGACTTTTCTTTCATGAACGACTTCCATGCACATGCACATGCATGCATTTTCATGCCGATACCTATACCTACACACCTCTTCTATACCTATACTTTCTGGTTGGACTACGTCATTCCTATATATACATACAGTGACACACTGTTGTACCTTTTCTTTTCCATTTCTTTCTCTGGCGGTCATCAGGTACTATACTTTTCTTTTCCTTATTGGTCTTGGTCAGGGCATTCATATTGGTTAAAAAAACAGGTAGAGACGGATGAAAGCAAGATAGAACTTTATTATTATTGATAGACTTGACAAGTGATACTTCACACCAGATACTTTTACTCAGAACTTAACAGGCGAGTAGTAAATATACTAAGTACGAGAAGATGACATGATATAAGTCCTTAGATAGATAAATAGATAAAATAACTACTCAACTCGCATCCACCACATACGGCACAACGGGGGAAAGGCAAGGAAAACAAACAAACAAATAAACAGGAACAGCACGATGAGTATACAATTTCGATTCATCCTTTCGGCAAAGCTGAAAACAAGAAGGAACAATAACAACAACAGCAGCAGTAGCAACAGGAGCTGGTAATTAAGCATCGATGATATATCCTCCCTCTTTTCAGGATTGGAATAAAGCAGAGTAGGGCGGGAAGTTTTGGGTCGGTGGGTGAGAGGTAAAATGAAGGGAAAGAGTAAGAGTCTTTCTTCTCGCTTGTCAATCAATCAATCCCTACTCGTGGAATCGGGAATACTGGGTGTTGGTGTTGATCATTGAGCTGCGGAGAGGGGGGAATATAGTTGCACTTCCATCTGAAATAGAGAGCATCTCGTTATCCATTCCACTTATCAATTAAGATGGATATGGATGATGGATGTACAGATGGTACTCCGTAGTGGCAAAAGAGACGATGGTGAGAGCTTTCCCATGATAAAAGATAAGGATGCTTTCAACGACGCTTGCATGTATTTGACTTTTTTCCAGCTTCGTGAATTTTGATTCCAAGAGTAGGAAGAAGAAGAAGAAAAGGGGGATTTGGTTGGATTGGATAGTAAGAAAAGAAAAAAAACAAGACAACGCAGAGAGGAGTCACAGCACAGAGGCCCATAAACTAAGGCAAGTAAACAAAACGCCACAATCAATGTGGGTGGTAACAACGGCAAACAACTTCCATCAGCATCACCTTCATGCTGCCGTCTCCACTGGCTTCTCTTCCGTCTTCTCATTATCAGCCTTCTCCTCTGTCTTTTCAGCATCGGCCTTTTCCTCCGTCGCCTTGCCCTCGGTTGGCTTCTCTTCGCTGGACTTCTCCGTCGTAGGTTCTTCGGTCTTGGGAGCTTCCCTCTCAGTCTCCTCCGTAGCCGGCTCGGGGGCCTGTGGCTTTTCTGCTGCATCGGCATCGGGCATCGGCTCATCCTGCGGCTCCGCAGTGTCAGCCTTGCTCTCCTTGGTATCATCCTCCTTCTCGTTCTCGGTATCGCCCTTAGCCGGCGTCTCAACGCTGCTCTCCTTGTGGACACCGTTGGCCTTGGGCTTGTCTCCCTTCTCCTTGTCATCCGAGGGTCCGGTGGCATCCGCATCCAGCAAGTTCTTCCACTTGGACAGAATGCTCATCGCACGGGCCCGGAACTGGAATTCCTCGTCGCGAGGGATAGAGCTGAGCTTGACGATCATCTTCAAGACCTTGTTGATCTTCGTGGCACGGATAATGGAGACTTCAAGGTCCGCGTGCTTCTCAAGTTTGCCGAAAAAGTTGGACATTTGAGTCATTTCTTCCTCCTTGGGTGGCTGGTCGCGGGAAATGAATCCCTTCTGAAGCTTGTGACGGATAAAGAGAACTAGTCATCATTAGCATAACACGTTCCTAGGCCACCAGATTGGTCCCACACATACTCTCTTTCTCCTTCTTGTCCTTGGCTTCCTCCTGAGTCAACTTCTTCTCCGGCTCCTTGGATTCCGCGCGAGACTCCTCTCCATCATCACTAGCAGCAGCCTTAGCGGCCTTCTTGCTGCTCGCGGTCTGCTTGCCCTTGGAAGCAGGGGCCTTCTTTCCAGATTCGGTGGCCGGAGTCTTGGGGGTGGTCAACTTCAATTTCGTGGTGGTCTTGGGAGTCTTCGCAGGCTAGATGGGAATAAGTTAGCTCCACAGTCACCCGTATTCAGCACGACAGCTCTCTCCTACCTTCTCATCGCTTTGGGCCTCAGAGTCATTGTCCTTCTTGCGCTTCTTGGTGCTCTTGGGCTTCTTCGTCTCCTCATCAGCATCGTCCATGTCGACGTCTTCGTCATCGACCACGTCCATGCTCTTGCGCTTGTTCTTCTTGGCCTCGCGCTCTGCCTTGGCGGCGGCCTTGGCAGCTGCCTGGGCCTCCCTTTCTTCGATCTCCTGCTCCAGGGCACGCTGGTGATCTGCCAGCAGGTCCTTGAAGTGCTGAAGGTCATGGCCCTCGGCACCCACAGCATACGCAGCCAAGAGAGTTTTCGACTTGCCCTTCTCCGACACCTCCTTGCAGCCAGCAGCATCGATAGGGGTCAGATCGGTGTTGGGGATCCACGCGCTATGGTCTTCGTTAGCCAACTCGATGTCGCAAGCTTCATCCAAGCTCAATGTAGTGTTACTCACAATTCGTTCGTCTCAAAGAACATAACGGGGAAGGTCCGCTCGTGAGCGCGTTTGCCGCCATCGGCGTAGTCCTCCCTGTAGGTTCCGTCGGGGCGCTGAGCCGTCACGGGACGCGTGTTCAATAGAGTCTGAGGGAGCATTTCCTCGTCGCAGATGATGGAAGGCCATGGGGGAAAGCTCCTGAGACGCGCCAGGTAGTACTCGCCGGGCTGTGCGTTCAGGTGTGTGGTACGAATCTGGGACTTCTTTCTGCTCAGCTTAGACTTGTGCTCGGGCACGGTGCCAGTCGATTTCCGCTTCGCAGCGCCAGACTTCTTAGCGGATGCGGGTGTTCCGTTGGCCTCCGATGCTGGTGCGACTTCGGGCTCTGCAGGCGCGGCCGCACTCTCATCGGACTTCTTCGCGTCGGCAGACTCGGCGGGTGCGCTCGATTCCTCGGCCTCTGCTGGGGCGGGCTCTTTCTTCTTCTCTTCAGTGGCAGTTTCGGTCGCTGTTGAGCATAGGGCAGGTGATATTAGCGAGCGCCACTAGGCAAGACCGCGACGAGAGGAGAGGGCGTGGTGTTGGGGTAGCTTACCAGATGGCTTGTCCTCAGGACCATTGGTCTGTTGCTCTTCCTTCTCCTTGGAAGGCTCTTGCGCAGACTCAGCAGCAGCGTGCTGAGCATCAGCGGGAGCGCGTTCGACGGACGACTCACCGGCGTCGGGGGCGGGCGCCGAGGCAGCAGGGGTATCCTCGGCCATGATGCGCAACCGGGAGTCGGAAATTAATCAGGAGGGGGGAATGGAAGGAGGATGCGAAGGAGAAGAGGATAGACGAAGCCTTCTGATGAGAAGAAGGTTTGGGTGGGGGGAAAGGTTTGAGGGGAAGGGTAATGCGGTGGAAGTAGGAGGAGAGTGAGAGAGAGTTGAGAGCGAGCGAGCGAGAGGTGGTGGAGAAGGTCGCGACGCCGGGAGGCGGGAAGTCGACAACGCGTTGCACTTCTTGGGGTGGGAAAGCAAAGCGGCGCTGCGCCCAGTCCGTAAATGACGCAAACGCTTCAACGACAAGAGACAAGTTGATAATGTCAACCACCACAACTGGTCTTGACAAGTAACACTGGCTTTCTGGAGCTGCCCCCAATAACCCTTGTATTAGCGACTGGGCAGGAGGGGGATCCTATCACGGCAGACCGCTGTGTCGTGTCTCGGAGCGCTTGTGGCAACTGTAAGACAGAGCTTCCAATAGGGGGGTCGTTGCTGAGAATCGTGGCGTTTCTCCCAAACGTAGAATCGATGGGTGAATCCGATCCAGTCCCCTTCAAAAACACGGCGATACCGGGACGCCTGTGGTGATGAATGGATGGATGATGGTGATGCTGCCAATGGGCCGTGACGCGAAAACTCCCCGGCGATTGACGATCCTCCAGCAGCCGGAAACGCGAAGTCGCTGCTGCTGCACAACAACGACACGGAGCTTTCAAAAACAGGAAAGAAAAAGCCAAGGGGCTATTCGGAAATTGGCGCCAGTAGAATCGTGGTGATGAACACCCACGGATGAACCGCAGTCTGCTCGTCTGCTTGGATCACCGAGACAGCGAATATCACGGCCAATGCAAGAGATGGATAGGACTCAGAATAGAGTGCACACAAGTACTTGGTGTTGAGACACAACCTGTTCAGGGCTTTAGTATCTTCTTTCCAAAGGACATACAAATCGCATACTCACCTGGAGCTAGCAATCCAGTCGCGCACCGCCGAATCCGATCACTAGTTTGAGGATGTTGAGGAACACCAGAAACCCCGCGGTCGCAAGGATCTGCAAGATTCGGACGAGGAGTTGAAGGTAGGTGAACAAGCAAGTATACCGGAGTCAAATCTCACCCGGAATCGACACTGGATCTTGGAGAGGGTAGAGTCGACGGGGGGAGGAGGGAGTAGGGGTGATGGTGAGAATGCGTCTGTAGTTGTTTGGTCGGGGGGAACAAGGCAACAAAAGGGAAAGACGGATGGTGACGCCAGGAGAAAGAGTTCCCTCGCTGGCTGCCAAACCAGCCATCCTAAATCCATATCCCCAGTACAACACTCAACTGTCCTTTATCCCCCACTTCCGCATTGGTATTTACAGGCTTATTCCGAGATACTTGCTCGTTCCATTGACTCCGTGCGTTAAAGTGCGGGACAATGAGCGTAGTAAAGTGTTTCCCCATCTACAACACCCTGTCCGGCACTTGTCGAGTCAGTCCCACGCAAGTAACACACTGACAATCAATACCTTGCAAATCCTTCTCGTCGTGTGCTACAAGCAGAATTTTAAATGATCCCATCCGCTGTTTCTTTTCTTCCCAGCCACTTGGAGGGTATCTTTCGTGTTATTCGGTTCTGACGTTCATTCATCCCATTCACCCCCACCCGCTTTCCTGCTTGATTCGTCTCTAGTTCTACTACTATATAGCAATCATCCCAATTTGTGCACGATGTTTGACTTACACAGAAACACTAAAGCCATCCAAACCCATTCATCAAGTTGAGTAGAGATAAAAAATTAAATGCATTGTCTTTGATCAAAAGCAGGTCGCCATATACACAGTAGGGGGTGTTCGGAGCATATGGATGATCGGGGGAGAGTAGGCACGGACAGTAAGAATAGTACGGCCCCAACGACCGACCGGCGGTACCATCAATGTAATTAATACAGATCAAGAGTCATGAC